CGGCTGGATCCAACAGATACAGTCTCGTGCAGCTCGTCTCTTTCCCTTGATTGATCTGCTTCGTGCGTCCTTCGCGGACTTTGTCTCGCGTTTGCAAAACGCTCATCTGCTGTCGTTTTTTTTTGATCTGTTCTTGCCAAGCCTACGCGTGTTTTGTCCACAGGGCTGTTCTTTTTAGAATTGCATCGCTCCGGCGTTCAGGGTTCAAGGGACCAGGGAAAAGAAATTCGGGAGGAGTCATTGCTTGATGGTATTTTGGTTCGGCTGTCTTCTTTTTCTTTTTCGTTTGTTTATTACGGATGTTTCGTTTGTCCCTCCGGAGTCCTAGCGATCCTCTGCTCTACCCTTAGATAGAAAAAACCCATAGACTATTCCTCGGGGAAAATACAATACAACCTGCGACGACGCAAACCCAACTCTTCTTCTTCCTTGGTGCTGATATCAACCGAGTACAGCACAATCCCCAACCCCTACAGTTCTTCTATAGCAAGGTATATGAAATACCCAGTCGGAACGGTATACCTCTCACCCAACCCATAGCACCAACCAACACAGCGACAACCCAACCCCGTCCTCCCGCCCCCCAGACTTCCCCACACCGTCAAAACATCCACGGTCTCTCCCCGCGGCTCCCCCATTATCCAAATCCGCTCTCCGACATCTGACGCCATGCACGTCCCCACCTTGCGCCGACGACCATCAGACAGAAGATAACCCCCCTAAAGAAAAGAAATTGAAGCACGCTAGACCCGTGACGTGACATGGTAATGCCACAGCGTCAGCGTCAGCAGTCCTGTCGCTGGGGTTAGCTGAACTGCTGGGTGCATGAGCAGAAGCCGCCCCTTGCTTGGGTTAACGATCCGTGATTCTTTCTCTTGTACAGTACAGTAAGTAAGGACCCCGCCGGGGTTGAATAGATATGTTGAATTTTTCAATGAGTGGGCTCTGGTATCGGATGCCGAGAGGGAATCTTGAGGCTCAGTGCTGGGGTTATATGTAGGACCGAAAAAGAAGTGGTCGAGGAAGCAGAAGAGAGACGGAACAGGTGAGGATGGCATGCGGGCTCATAATAGTACCTTACGCCGTTCCCCGCCGTGATACATCCCTACCGTACTGAACGTGCAGACGAGGACATGGCCGCGGTGACAATAGCTGCCTGGCGTGAGCTAATTTATCTGTTAAGCTTAATTGGCGGAGTGAAGCATTGTGCTCGGACGCTCTTGTCTTGCGCAGCGAGCGAATGGGAGAGTGTAGGTCAGGTAAGAAGGAAGGGAACTTGTACTGTGCAGTCCAGCTTATGGACTGTTTATGTAGGAATGTAAGCAGACGTTTTGAATCACGCCGGGCATCTGAGTGCTGTTTATTCTACCGACTGGACAACGGGCTCGTCATTTTCATACCTGCTCCGGGCTACTCGGTTATAGGGAGACTGTGAATAATGCATAATACTATTACAATATCCTGGTCATCCTAGACTACAAAAGACCACGGGGCAATGTGCATTGCGGATGTGAAGCAGATGATTAAGAGATTAGATGAGTGCCAGAGGCACGTAAATTCTACGAAAAGCACCGTCAATCAGGTGTAAATACTCTGTTCACCTTTCGTCAGTATACAGCCCAGATTGGGTTTCACCAAAGGGAAGGAGCTTACCTCGGTGATTTGGTTCACCTGCAAACCAGGTTCGGCCATATTGGCATCCTTCAAAAAGTCCAACGGCATCCAAACCAGATGTCCCTTGATCTTGTCGAGCCTCTCACGAGTGTCCTGGATAGGTTGGTAGGGATCAGACAAATGACCTTGCTTGATGCCCTTTGGAATGAAGTGATCGTAATCCTCAAAGGTGAGGATCTTGTCATCGGGATCCGCGCGGAAGAGCATCCGGTACATGTCGGTGTTGACGGTGGCCTGGTTGGTCCACAACTCCCACAGTGCGTCGTTCATGGGATCCGTGACGAAATCATTCTCCGGCCCCTCGAGGATCTGATTCATGCACGCGTACGGAGGCTGGGCGTTGGGATGTTGCGAGGCATCGTATTCCTGGCAGGGAAGCAGGCCGAGGTGTTCGCGCCACAGTTGCCGACGCAGGGTTGCCGCAAGGCGGGCGGCCTTGTATGGCTGACCGTCCATGGTACTATCGATGAAGTCTTGGTCTTCTACAACGATGGCTAACTCGCTGTCGTGGTAGCCACATTGAGACTGCGCGAGATGGATTAGTTGGTCTGTTCGCAGGGGCTAATGTAGGTAGCTGCAAGGGGAGAATGAAAAAGGGCCTACCCGATCGTTGATGTTGGCGCTTCCACAAATGGCGATTCTGTCATCGACGATGCACACCTTGCCGTGCACATAGAGTTCCTCTTGAACAATATTGTCTATCTCCGCGGCGGGCTCGCCGTCCCAGGGCTCGTCGGACATCTTACCGCCGTTGAGCATTGTGGTGTGAGCCACAGTGTCACAGCCCTTCAAGCCCTCTTGCTCCCTGTGGCGTTCGACTTGCTCTTCGTACTTGCGCAACTGGTCAATTCGTGCCTCCTTCTCCTGTTGCGCGTTATCATATCCAACTTCATGCTTGTCTCCTTCATTGTCAATGGCAGGGTGAACACTGTCGCTCATGATAGACTCTGCAATTCCACGTTGGATATCATTGTACGTGACGCCGGCCTCCTTCTCCAAACTTTCGAGAGCGGGAGTCTTGTTGATACGGTCATAGGCCCGTAAATTGAACAAGAAGACATGTTCTGCTCATGTTAGACGTGATTCCCCGCATCGGGCGTGGTTCGACTTACGTCTCGGGTCTACACCCTGAGCAGAGATCTGCCCGAAAATGGAGTGCTCGCCGCGATGAATAGACTTGTACTGGTAATCCATGATCGCGCGTGTGCCGGTCGCGGCGTTCTGTCGGAGGTCGCCTGCGAATCCGGGAATGGCGGGGATGACGATGATCACGCGAAACTTCCTCCCCTCCTTGCCCGCTCGGACGACTGCATCGACGATCGACCGCCCGATTGTGTTCAGAATGGGTTTCTGCTGGTCTCCAGTAGCCGTGACTAGAAGCTGTTAGCATATGCAAGATCGAAACTAGATCAAGCGATATTATCTCACTAAAGAACTGGTTCTCGATGTAGACGAAATGCTGGGCCTGGCTGATAATCTCCTTGTAGGCGTTCTGAATACTGTGCTCGGTCAGGATGCCACTACTCCAATCAGCGCTACTGCGCACAAGCTGTGCCCGCGCAAATCCCTGCTTGCCAAGGGGCTTCGTATCGAGAGGCTTCAGGGGGTGTTGTACGTAGTCGCCGCAAGGGTATTTCGGGCGTTGTACTCCCACCAGATCCTCGTCCTCCCCGGTGCGACCCTCAAGCATAAGCCAATCAACGCCATGGTCCCGTTTGTACTTGTCCCGCTTGATGAAGTTCCAGCGAAGAACAAAGTGCTCTGCGATGTCGTACACACAGTCACCCATCACACCCATGGCAACGTCATGCCAAGGCATCCGACCGTACTCCGCTTTGCTGAGCTCGTTCTGCTGCCAGTCTTGCACACTCTGGAAATCCATGATCCGATTATTGTTGAATTCCTGTCCGGGGAAGACTTCGTCTTTCAGATTGGCAGGGTGAACATCGGCCAGAGGGTGCTGATGGGCATCCCATCTTCCGAAGCACAGATCAATACCTCCAATGAACGCCAATGCATAATCAATGACAAGAAACTTCTCATGATGTGCCTGACAGATTGATGGTCAATTAAAGCGTGGGCGCATGTGCGGGTGCAGACCTACCCAGTACAGAGTCATGTCTGCAGCATTCTCAAAGATGTTATGATCCGGATGTCTGAGGACTTTAATGTTGCCGTAGCCGGGCGAGCCCTCAGGACATAGTGCGCGCAAGGCATGCTTCGTATGAGCCGAGTTACAGGTCAATGCTTGATTCACCTATTTACTTCGTGTCAGCGATTGTGCAACTGTGCAACCGAGGCGGCAACCGGACCTCCTTATACACAATGACGTAGATCTTCACCCCGGCCTCCGCGCGGCGCTTGAGGACCTGATCCAATCGCCATTCCTGATGCGCATACGCAGGCCGGCGGAGGAAGAGTTCTGGAGAGAGCCACCAGTCGGCGATGTAGATGACCTCCTGGGCCTCCTCTAGAGCAATGGAGACGGCCCACATATAGTCGAGCGCATCAACATACCACTTGACCCGGTTCCCTTCACGGATGGGGGCGAAGGATTGAAACCGGTTGGACTCGGAAATGGCGGTTCTCTTGCGGTCTGTCTCCTGTTCGTGCGCTTCATCATGGCGATGATTGGGATTGATGATATTGAAAAATTTGCCGACTTTGTGCTTGAAATGAGAGGCCTTTGCCTCGAAACTCTCGATGTGAGTGTCTGTTTTTCCCCACGGCTAATTAGTTGAATCCACCGAGGGGGAGAGAAGGATAACCTTTGAGATGATCCTCCAAGTGATCGATTTTAGACTTCAGCTTCTCCATCGTGATCCAGCGCGATAGAGTTATAGTAGATTTGAAGTGATGAGGAGGGGCAGGGGAAATCTGCAGCCGGGTCTGTCAAATGCAGCTGGTGAAAGGAAAAAGATTGGGGAAAAGGAAGAGGGGAGAGGGAGGGGGGGGGGAATGGGATCCACCGACGATCGGAAATCAATCAGAAGATAACGACTGTGCACTGTGTAAAAAAGGTTTCTGCCTGGGAAACAGTTCCAGATCCGCCAAGGCGATCGGCATAAGGGCAGGGGCCAGTGGGAGAGATTCGCGTGAGGTAATATAATCAGAATCTAATATGGAGACGCGGAAATGCAATCAAAAGCCAGCCCTGAGTCCAGGGCGCAACAAACCGTGTGTGGGGTGATGTCATCGCCCTACGCCTTATCCAGCCTTGTTGCAGCCTCAGGCTGAATAGTGGTTGGCCTAGAAAGGCAGGCATAGAACTGATCTTCTCCCTTTGTCTCTTCTCTGATTCTCTGACACTAACCACCTACCTCATACTCAGAACTGGACCAGAGTAAGTTACTCGAGTACTCATACCTGGTCCACACTAGGCCGTCGCCTTAAAGCATCCCTCCTGCATGTTCCTGTCGCGTGTCAGTGGATTTGCCTCGGGTAGACTCCACCCTCATCCACGGTGTGCTTCCATGGGAGCCCTGCTGCACATTTCGTCATCATCGCCGTTACTTCCTTTCTTTGTTGTCTTACACATGACCCTCAACTCCCTAATACCCCTCCTCCATTGGCAGTGACACCATGAGCACATCACGCAATATCTACAAGGATGATATCGACTTCACCGCCCTTGCCCTGCAGTCCCCGGATTTCGCAAAGTAGTACGTGCCCCCCATGCAAGCCACTTGATTCGTCATGACATGACCGGCCAAAAAAAAAAAGCTCAAAAGTCCCAATTTAGTCTAAAATCCAACGGACAATTGGACTTTACCGACCCCGATGCCGTGAGGTGGGCCCACATTGCTACCAAAGACACTCTAAACACTCTAAGTCCGCCAGCTGATGGACATAGGCAATTGACCAAAAGTCTGTTACGGCGAGATTTTGACCTGAAGGTGGACATTCCGGACAAGAGACTTTGCCCGCCGGTATGCGATTTCCGACCACGACCAAATTCAGACCACCAATGACCGTGACCGGTTCACTAATTATGCAGTACAGGTTCCGAACAGGTATAGAAGAGAGACGCGCGATCATTAGCAGGCTGCTGCACATGGGTTTTAACCGTTCATAGGCTGAACTACATCCTCTGGTTGCAAGATCTCCTCGATACCACGGGAGACAAGCACCAGGACAGCTACGACCCCGGTCGGAAGGTCGTCGGACTTGACATGTACGTCGCACATTTTCGATCCCACAGATCAAGCATTGATCGTGAAACCACAGCGGGACAGGATGTTGCAGCATCTACACTTTATTAGGCTGCTCCATGCGGCCTGGTTGGAGCTTTTTTGCTACTGGTAGGTCCTTCTGCGGAGCCAAAAGCACATACCAAGTTCACTCACACTATGAAGATATTGACGAAGGCAATATCGAGTCGTCGCGAGCGAACGTATCCGCCAATGCGCTTGACTCGCGAATCACGGTTGTTAGAACAAACTCAGAGGAGAAACTCATCCCACTGGACACGAAACTCAAAGTCGACAGGTCTGTTCCAGCCCCTCTTATGCATCTGCCCTGCCTCACACCACGAAGACTAGACTTCACCATGTGCAATCCTCCCTTCTACGCCTCTCGGGATGATATGCTAGCATCTGCCGAAGCCAAGGACAGGCCACCCTTCTCGGTATGAGCTTCGACCTCCGCAATTCAGATCATTCATTTACTTACACAAACCCCCCAGGCATGCACAGGTGCAGAAGTCGAGATGGTGACAGCAGGCGGAGAAATCGCTTTCATCTCCCGGATGATTGAAGAAAGTCTGCAGCTGCGCGACAAAGTGCTCTGGTACACGTCGATGTGCGGAAAGCTGAGCAGCATCTCCGTCCTCATCGAGAAGTTAGTTGGGCATGGCAACAACAACTACGCCGTGACCGAGTTCGTCCAGGGCAACAAGACTAAACGATGGGCCCTCGCCTGGTCATGGACCGATCTCCGTCCGACAGCGGTATGTTCTCATACCTGTGCATTGAGGAAGCCTGTCCCTGACCCCTGACGGATAAACCAGGCCGTGGCCCGAGGCATCCCTACGATATCGAAACACCTCCTTCCATTTCCCTCCGAATATACCTTCACCGCCACGACCGACTCGATCGATGAGGTGGCTACCACCGTTGACGGAGAGCTAGGCGCGCTACCCCTCCAGTGGCACTGGCGTAAGAGCCTTGCCTCAGGCGTGGGCTTCGCGATGCAGAACGTCTGGTCCCGTCAGGCCCGTCGCAAGTTGCGCAACCCCGACGCGATGGCCGACCAGCCCCCGGTCGAGGAAAGCAAAGCCGCGCTCGGGTTCAGGGTGCAGTCGAAGAAAGAGATCAGCGACGACAAAGGGGTGAAGGTGATCATCCGGTGGATCAAGGGAACAGACACTGTTCTCTTCGAGAGTTTCTGCGGCATGCTAAAGCGTAAGATCAACAGCAAGCCATAATCTGAACCCCAATACCTTAATGTCCAGATTAAAATTAGATGAATAGAATCAGTATTGACCTTCGTCTGGTAAAGAAAAACACATAATTTCTGCTTAAAGTTTCAGATTCGGAACATGAATAATCGTGACTTAACAGAAACCTGGTCCGACAACGGTAACCAGCTTGATAAATGCTGCACACACAAACCCACAATGCAAACTCTTTCTTTATATATGCATTTGAACCACACAAGATCTATGATCTAAGCACTGCCCACCTCAGACTGCAAGGCCTTCAGACGCTCCCAGCCCTCGGAATCCTCCCAGAACTCCTTGCCCTTACCCAGGATACCGCGTACGGCACTGCGGGCCTTGAACCGCCAATCCTTGGCCACCAACTCGGGCTCGCCCTCAGCAGCCCCATCCTGACCTTCCTTGTCCATGGGACCGTAGCGGGCGTAGCCATCACGGACCAACCGTTCGGTGGCGCGCACGACGTCCAACCACTTCTTCTCATCGGCCATCTGGAACGCGCCCTGGGTGGAGGAGGCGACGGTGGCGCGCCAGGCCTTCTCATGGGCCTCGAACGCCTTGGAGGGCCGGTCGCGCCAGGCCTCGACGCCGGCGACGAGCAGCCACAGGGGCGCGGAGTGGGTAATGAGCGGGACGACGGCGTGGTCGACGAGCGAGAGGATCTGGCCGGGGACGGTGCCGGAGCGCACGATGGGCTCGGCGGCGGGGTCGCTGTCGTCGATGCGGATCAGCAGGTCCTGGTACTCGTAGGCGCGAACCAGGTGGTCGACCAGCATGCCGAGGATAGGCATGTCGATGCACTTCTCGCCCTTCTTGGAGCCGACGAGCTCGATGAGACGGCGCTGCGCGGTGACGACGTCCCGGAACGGGGTGAAGGGCGGCGGGATCGAGGCCGCCACCGTCAGCACGTTGTCCCAGATGCGCGCGTCGGTGTGCTTGAGCGATGCGGCGCGGTGGAGCGCGGCCAAGGCCTCGCGCTTGCGTTTGTAGGGGTCCTCCGGGGCGGGGGCCGCGTCGTCGCCGGAGGCTTCCTCTTCGTCGTCGGCCAGAGGGGCCTTGGGGGGGCGGGGTTGTTCGGAGATGATCGGGGTATCTTCGTCGGGCTTGGGGGAGCGGAGGATCGCGGCCGCCAGGTTACTCCATCCTTCGGCGTCGGTATCGTCGAGTTGCACGGTGCGGGTGAAGGAGAAGATGGCGTCGTCCCAGCGGTGGAGCTCGAGCTGGACGCAGCCCAGCGCGAACCAGGCGCCGTGGTTGAGACGGTTGATGTCCAAGCTCTTGCGGTAGGCTTCTTCGGCCTTCTCGAGGGCCGGGGGCTTCAGGGTGAGGTAGTGGCGGGCCAGGGACCGCTGAGCACGAGCGTATCGCTGGTTCGATACCTCCCAGGCGCGCTCGTACATGCCAGCGTCGGTGTCGATGTCACCCAGGATACAGAGGAGGCGAGGCGCATCGGCGGGCAGGGGAGACAGCTCCGGCCCTTCGAACCTCTCGCTGTCATCATCGGGATCCTGGCCCGTCGGTTGGTAGAGCTGTCTGCGGACCATCTGTCGGGCCTTGTCCTCCCTCTCCGTTGCGGCGTAGCAGAGTGCAGCCTCGGCCCACATCTGGAGACGCTCGTAGATGTCAAGGGCGGTCCGCAGACCTCCAAGGTTGACCCACCGAGTGGCAAGCTCGGCCTCCAGGTCCCAGCGGGTGGAGAAGTTCATGAGCCAAACGTATTGCAATCTCTCGGCGGCAGAGGCGGACTCGGATTTCTCGGGGCGCGGCAGGAAGGTCGTGGGCTCTTCGACGGTAATGCCGGCTTGTTCATCGGATGTGGCGGTGTCAGCAATGACCTGGTCCACGAGCGCTTGCATCTGCAGCACAGATCTCTCGACGGTTCTGGATCGGTGACCCTCGACACGACTACGCACCAACAAACCCTGAGTATAGATCTGCCAGTTCGAACTGCCACCTTCCAAGACACGTGTAGCGTAGGGCGCCGTCTCCTCGCGGGTGATGCCGTTCTCCGGTGCGGTATTGGTGATGGCCGATGCGAAGGCGAGAAGGATGGCGGAGTCGACGGGTTCGAGCTTCGGCTGGTCGCCCGGGTCAAGGGCAGCCAATGCCGGTGAGAGTGCCGCTTCATCCTGAACAGTCACCGGCTTGTCTTGAGAGTCTTGTCCCTCGGCCTGAGCGTCGGCTTTAGCGAAGGAGATAGATTCCAAGAGGGTGTCGTCGTTGAGGTCCAGGTTCTTCGGGCCCGAGGCATTCGCGCTCTTGCTGTCCTCCGACGTCGTTTCGGCGCTCTTGGCCAGAATCACGAGCTGACTGACATCACGTTCCTGGAACTTCGTTCTCTTACCCAGTTTACCGGTCAAGGCGAACTCGAACTTCCGTTCTTTGGCGGCCTGCTCGAGATCCGCGCGGGCCTTGGCGTCGAAGCCATGGACGGTGTGGATGGTTGCTCTCTCGAGCAAGAAGCTTCCCTTCTCTTGCGCAGTACATTGAGCACTCAAGACCATCTTGCTAATGTCATCGAGCTCGGCGTAGATCGCATCCTGCAGTGTACCAGTGACCTCCGACAGCATCTTCTGGTGGAGGAAATTGACGCGGAGTCGTGCCGTCCTGGCCACCAGCGGGCCGTTCGTCACCAGGACATCGGTATCAGCCAAAATAGCTTTGGCGACAGCAAACAGCTCGACGTTGGGGGTCAGCTTGTAGGCTGCCTCGCCGTCGACGGAGAGGTTACGAATGACATGGGCACGAACGGCTCGGAGGGTGGCTGCGTCGGGCCGCAGGGCAGCGGGGATAATGGTGTCGGCGGGACTGTAGGTCAATGGAGGTCCCGTAACGTTGGATTGCAAGAAAGCGAAGAGAGCAGCCAGGGCAATGTGAAGCAACTGCGAGCGTTGTTGTTCGGAAGTCAAGTCCTTCACGGGCGATTGCGAGACCGCCTGCACTTTCTCGGCTAGAAAGCTGGTATAGGATACCTCGCCTTTGGCGATGCGATTCAGAGCACTCTCATCAGAATTGTGTCCGAAAACCTCCTTTGCGAGCGGCAGTTGCAGTATAGGGATGATCTCGGCGTCTGCGAGCGAAATGGGGTCGTATCGGTCCCGCACTGGTGATGTCTCGTCAAAAGCCGTGTTCAAGGACGCGGGAAAGGATTCGGTGGTGTCAGCCATGATGATCGCTCAAGTAAAGGACTGTGGCTTGAGAAAGGCAAAGGTGGGCGCAGAAGATCCTGTAATGAACAATGGTAGTCGCAAGGCGGGATTTCAGGTACGGATGATTGTTAATCAAGATAAAACAGAGCAGGCTCTTCACATTAGCGATTCGTTAGGTATCATAAGAAACTCTCTGGCAAGAATCAATCACAGACTCATGCTATGAGTTCTTGACGATCAGAAAACCACCGCGACTGAGCCAACTTCCCAGCACGACAATTGCAAAAGTGGAATGGCTAGAGGAAAGAGTCAGACCAAAGTGGGAAAAAACGAAGCGGGATGGCGGGGTTTTTTTTTCTGCCGGCTCTATCGATAAGGATACCTCGGGCGGTGACAGTACAAAAGTACAAATGACTTGGTCATGCCTATTAGTTAGACTATCTACCTAACCCAGCCGGCCTAACACCACCTACGGCGCTATGACCACGCCCTTGAGCAATCCAGCAGTACACACACAATGCTTGACTTCGTGCTCACTGCCCAGGCACCTGTGCATGCTCCTTAAGAATCTTATTCAGCCCCTCCCGCTTCACACATTCATCAAAATGGAAGCTGTGAGCCAGCTCATCCAGCTCCTTCTCATCTAGCCCCCGGAACAACTCCGCGAATTCATCCACAAAGCTCGCCGCCAGGAACGTCTGAAAGACACCCCGCAGCACATGGCGTTCCGTGCCCCACGGCGTGGGGTAGGCCTCCTTCGCCCGCGGCTGGACCTTGTCAATCCAGTCCACCAGCGGCTTCAGGACCGCGGCGGGCTCCGGGTGCGGGAACCGGCCCCAGGCATCGAGCCAGAGCTGGCTCTTCTTGTCCAGGAACGGCTGGATGCGTTGGTTCCACTTGCTGTTGGGGTTCGTGTGGATCATGCCCTGCAGGCCGATGTCCTTGTACAGCCAGATCGACCAGTGGATCTTGTACTTGTCGTAGATGCGCAGCTGCTCGCCGAGCAGGTTGTAGCGTTCCTCGTTGATCGTGTCGGCCTCGACCTCGGCGCGCGGGTTCTCGTAGACGGGGCCGAATTCCCCGTTCCAGATGGCCGTGCCATGCTGGTTCATGAACTCGACTTTCCGGAGGTACGACCGCTCGAGGTGTTGCTTTTGCTCCGGTGTGCCCTTGTACCGTTGCCCCGTGGGGAATCCCATGGACTGGGAAGAAAGGAGTATCAGATTAGCGAAAACGAGCCTCCCCTGACTGTACAACAAAACTCACCGCGTAATCATGGATGGAGTAAACACAGTTCGGAAGAACCTTGTCGAAGCCCCTCCACTCCATCGAAAAGGTATTTCCATCCAGCCAGAGAATGTGATCCGGATCGACCTGTCTGATCGCCTTCTCGATCCTCTCGTAGAATGCCGGGAGGCGAATATGCTCCGGATCGCAGGGCTCATTGAGGGGGTTGTACCCAGCAACCCACGGGTTGGCCTTATACCTCGCCGCGATCTGCTCCCATAGCCACACCGTCCGGTCCTGGTGGTCTTTGTAGTCCCAAAAGGCGGCGTAGCTAGTGGGATTATCCGAGTGCCAGTCGGGGTTCTGTCCGCCGGGAGTAGTATGCATATCGAGAATCGTGTAGATCTTCTCTTTGGCACACTGTCGTGCAGCACAGAAGCACACTCGTCAGCCCTCACACACTCTCTACATGTGGCCAAGTAATGACCGAGATCCCAATACTCACCAGATTAATGACTCGATCTAGATGTTTGAAGCCGCTTTCCTTCAATACTCGTGGGTTCATATCATCCTCCAAGTGACGGAAGTTGAAAGGAATTCGCAGACAGTTCAATCCCAGCTCTGCGTAGAATTTGGCATCGGCTTCAGTGAAGAAATACTCGAGCCAACGGTCGAAAAAGAACTCGTACTTCTCAGGTCCCAGGACTTTCCGCATGGCAGCGCGATGTTGGGACTCGTGGCCCGGAAAACCTGTGATGAAATTCTCCATGCTAGACTGGGGGTCAGACAGTCGCAGCGTTCTTGAAACGGGAGTTGGACGCACTTGGCCCATCCACCTATGGCAGCGCCACGGAGGAGCACTTCATCGCCATTGTTGTCAACCACCTGGTTGCCTTTGACCTTGAGGATTCCAGCTGACATCTTGTAGAGCAGCCAGCTGTGACTTATACGGGTAGAACGAGTATAACAAAGGTGGCTCTGTTTGAGGAGGTGGCAATCTTGAAGCGCAAGTCTCAGTACAGTTTGCAGATGTGAGGTATCAGCACTAACAAGCTCGAAGGCCGAATCTGCCTGCTTCAAATACCCCAAAAAAAGGCGGGGTGGACTGTTCGTAGTCCGGGGATGCTAGGAGCTTGGTGGCTCAAAGTCGGGTAAATGAAGCACTTTAGGCTATGCGAACCGAAACCCTCGAGAAGCCAAGGTTACGATGATTCCGTCAATTGGATACTCTTGCCGATTGGTGACACTGCCAGTTCACCAAATATTTATTGTAGTCAGTACAGCCGCTTAAATTCAGCTTGGCATGGCTTGAGTCTGCTGACCTACCAAAAGCCATCCTGCAAGGGTTCATGGGAGATGTAGATGTCACAATCATATTAGCCGTTAAAATCCAGTACATGTGCCCTAAGGGTATCTGCAAGTACAGACATCAAATGCATTAAAACATCCAATCAAATATGCTCAAACACCGTAGTCCATTTACATGAACAATGCTTCCTTTTGACTGGGGGACTCCGACCAGGCATGAACAAATAAACAAGAACGAGTAGAAATTCTGCAAACAACCGCTAGTGTCAAGGAATGTTCAGGGGGAGAAAAAAGACGGGATGTATGTAGTATTGACGCTCGAATGAGGAGCCGTCAGAGGACAAGATCACCAGTCTTGACCTCGGTCCTTCATCAGAATCTCAATAGCTTCATCCTCAGGAACTGGATTGTCATTGAGGTCCTTGACGCATTGCGTGAGCCCTTCCACCGCTTCATCCACTTTTTCGGCAGTCCAGTCAGTGCAAGCCATTACTACTCGACGGTAGTTTTGTCCCAGAACGACGTTCTTGGATCTCAAGCGCTCCACCTCTTCCAATATGTCATCGTTGAACATGTGGTATCCCTCTATTCGTTGCTGTATGCTTTCTGCAGGTGGAAACGAGCGAAGAAAAGCAGCTTGCTGCTCGGAGAATCCAGAACTTGGATCAAAGTTCTCAGGGAAGATCGCTTCGAATGCAGCAATATCTAGTCCAAACTCTTTGTCGGCATCACCAACCATGTATTTCTTGGACATATCAAATGATCCTCCCTCGGTCTCTTTCAGTTTGATAAGCAAATCTTCCGATGACTTCTCAAGGTTCTTGCATCGACGACTAAGTTCAATGCGCTCTGAAGCTCTACTCTTCAGGTAGTCCAGGTGCTTCTGTTCGATCTGCCGGGCTTTAGCCGACTCCCGGATCTTAGAATGCCAGTGGTCGAACTTCTCTTGCTTCTTTGTCAAGCTGGAAGCCAGATCCCTATCAATGCCGCCTAGCGTCTCGTGCACCAATGAAGTGATCTGCGCCAATGTAGCTGAAAGTCTGTCAGCCAGGTAATCCTATAAGCAATGAGATGGAGCTCTTACAGTCTAGAATCTCTTTCTTGGTTTTGGCCAATTGGTCCATGAAAGAGTCATTCCTAACCCCGGCTTGTTGAGATTGACCGTTGCCATCAACCATATCCACACCCACTCCATAATCGGCCGGTCGCAGACCGGTATGGTTCGGTATATGAGGATCTGCGCCAACTTCTAGAAGCTGAGGTACAAGGACAGAGCGTGCGCGACCCGCCAGATTAAGCGCAGTATCTCCTTGATCATCTCGGAGGTTAACAATCTCGGATATGAACCGACCCAGCGTTATGACCTCTCCGGGTTGCGGTAGGGCTTGCCCATTCTCCACGACACCAGCAGGACCTGGCTGATTCGATGAAGAGCCACCGTGGCGAACAATGAATTCCAAAAGAGCTTCTAGATAGTGTTTCGCTGACACATGGCCCCCACCGCCAGTTGCCGCCATCACGGCAATGTGATGTAGTACTGTTCGTCCACTGTAATCAACCATATCAATTGTTGGAGCCAACACCTGTAGTAGACGTGGAAAACTCCGATAGTCGAGATTGTTCCTCGTTCCAACTGATTTTTGTAAGGCCGTTTCACCTGCCCCGTTCAGCCGGAAAATGTTGACGCCTTTCTCCACGAGCGCATACACAAGCGGCATGCGAGCAAGCATTGCCGCCCAGTGAAGTGCATTGTTACGGTATTCATCCAAGGGGATCTCCAGGTCTTCTCCAGATAGTTGCATCAAGGCAGGATGCTTCGAAAAGTCCTTCGTCCTCTTGTCCAAGAACAACGTCATGATAAGCTTCATCTTCTGGAATCTCTCAGGAGTAGTGGCGGGTTGCAGAGGCTCAAATCCGCGCTTGGTGCCATCGATCATGGAATTGGAGATATCCATGTCCTGGTAGAATGAGTCGTTGGGTTCAGTGGGAGTTGGTTCGTTCATCGACAAAGTCGACTGTTCATAGGGAAGTCCGAAAGATGGCGCATGGTTGGAAGCAGATCTCATGCGTTTGCGAGGAGGTTCGTTCGGCTCCTCATACTCGAAGCCTGAGCCAACGGGACCTGGGTACCGACCGTTGCTTTGAACATTGCTTGCGAAGCCGCTGTCGGATGCAACACTGTACATGCTCTGTTGGCTGTTGAATGGGATTTGAGTATCTTGGCTGCTTAGCTGTTGTGAGGGTTTCCGCATGGTATTCGACTTCCTTCCGTCAACACCACGTGCGGCCGGCGAGTCGAAGCGGGCTCTGCTCATAGCATTGACCGCAGTAGCAGCAGTGCGAGAAATGTTCTGGAAGAAGGTGCCCTGGTGAGGCTGGGACATACCACGGTTGTCCATGTGGTTATAGAGGCGTTTCCTTTGGGCAGCCATTGCCTGCTCCTTCGTCGGAGTGTCCAACGAGTCTTGTGCATTTCCGGTCGTTCCATTGGGGCCCTGGTCATATTCCAGAAGAGGTCTCAACAATTCCTCAACATGGTATTCGCGGCACAGGTCCACACCTCTCTGGTAGTTCACCCAAGTCCCCTGGTATTTGCCGTATCCACCCTGTACTTTTTCATGCTCGCCGGCCGCAATTTCTTTCTCCAGTGTTTTCGTCCGCCTGGCCTTGACAACACCTGCAACCTTCAGAATCTGAGTGGCGTTGAGCCAAGAGTCGGTGCGGCGTTTCATGACAGCAACCCCATTTACCTCCATTTCGTAGACGGCGACATTAGAGTAGACAGCCTGTAGGGAAGGGTAAGCGTATGTTAGCGTCACTACGAAGTAGTTAACCTAGGTAGATGCGCCGAGAGACTGACCTTGTAAATCTGGGGTTTGAATTCCTCATAAACAGTGCCATAACCATGCATATCTTCAAAGGTACTGAAACTACCCCTAGGTCCATTGGGCAACCCATTGGCGTAGCTATAAGACATGGTCGACTGTTGTGATGCTTTCGGAGGCGGAGTAGCTCGGGGGGTAGAGGCTACAGATTGAGAAGCGTTGAACGAGCCCATGTGCGACTGTGAAAAGGTCATGCCGTTGGCCGAGCCCATGCTGCTCTGCGAGTAGGACATCTGGAGGGTCGGACGCGGTGGGTGGTGGTTGTTGGAAGCCATTGTGTCCAGGTTACTGCGTGTGTAGGGTGTCCCGTCCAGGCATCAGACCTGTCAAAGGCAGCTTAACGGGAAAAGAAGTCAGTTTGAAGTTGAATTGCAGCCGTCCAGGCCAATGGCATGCCAGACTCGGTATGTCAAACAAAAGAGTAGAAGCATGTGGGGAACTGCACCTATGCTGGGAGATCTTCTCGGCCTCCGGAATTACTGGTAGACCACGGGAAGTCGCGCAAGATTGAAGGGAGGCGCGTGGCTGGCGCTCCGACCGTGAAGGAGATGGAAAGGGACCGGGGGGGTTGTAGTCAGTCTGCAAGGAGGGATAAAAGCATGAACACCCTGCCCGCTTCAAGTAATATCTACATGGAACTCAAGTTGACTAAGAGTGACTCGACTTGTATATCAATAAATTCATTCAAATGAGTAGGAAGAAGTCAAGTTAACCTCGAAAGCTTCGCGGGGAACTCTCGATGTTCGCCCGTCGCGTGCGCGGCTAACCTGAACCGTTTTCGCGTTTCGCCTTCCAGTTCGGAACAAACAATCTACTATTACCCTTTTAAGAATTCCGCCTTTTTGACCGCCTTTGTCTCCGCCTAACGACTCGAATAATCGAACAACCCCCCCCCCCCCCAGCGAAAAGAAAAGGATGTCCAGTGGTGAGCAACGAACTCCGCGAGAACGAAAAACGAGTCAGTCGGTTTCGAACGATGCCTCCAAAACTTACACCTGTGTCGCCAGTCACGGTTCCCGCGGAGACATGGCGGCAGCTCCTTCGATCACTCCTGCGCGAGGCATCCTATCTCCCCGACCCCGTTGCCAGAGGCTACATGCATCGCTATGTTCTCAGTCGATTCCGACACTACACGAACAACCCCAGCTTCGAAGAACGGAATGATCTCTGGCAACGCTGGCGATTGCGGAAGACAGCCATCAAGGGCCTGTCAGTACTACGAAGAGCCAATGAAGGTTATATGAAACCACTAGAGAAAGTCCTACGCATGGCATATGGTCGCACCGGGAGTCGGAGAAGGCAACTCGTTCTAGACCTAATTGCTCGAGCGACTCCGCCTTCGGAGCCGAAACCCAAGTGTTTGGAAGATCTTCTGGCCAAGAGTGGCATGACAGAGGACTGGAAACCGCCTGAGGTCGTTCAAGATCTGTTGAAGGCTCAGCTCCAACAACCTTTGCTTCAACACCTCGATGCCGCCCCAAGACTCAAGGATTTCGAGCCAGTCATACCCGAAAAGAATGCATGGGCTAGGCCGGTTCCACATTGCCGACGAAGGAATATCAGAAAGAAATGGTACAGCAGAGTCTTGGCCAACCTCCTTCCACCAGTCCCACGCCGCGAGCTAGGGCTTCTTGAAGGTCTAATGTCAGGCCGATTGCCATGGACGCCACCTAAAAGAAGGAAAGCCATCGTAGCTGCTCCTGCTCCTCCATCTGAGCCCAAACTTGATGTCGATTTCCTGGTGGATGGCCCAAAGAAGGGACAGACGTTCAAGCCCTATGCCGGCGGGCGACCTCATGTGTTCACACGTCGGCTCATGGTCAGAGCTTGGATGCGCATCTCAACTCTAATACCCCGCGTTCTCATAATTAAAGAGGTCGGGACTGGGAACTCAAAGCACAGGTTTACATGGAAACGAGAATCTGCAACCAAAACAATTCTCCCAGCGAGAAAGGAGATGAGTGCTGAGGTTTTTGAGGGCGTCGATTCTCGGGGGAGATTGCTCGCAGATCGGCCGAAGCAATAGCAGCAAGGCAACGGTCAATCTCAAGACGCACCTGACGTCAATTCTCACCAACATACACACTCCTTAAGACACTACTTAAGGGAATTGAAATACGCCTTCAAAATCATACCCCGACAAATGGGTCTTTCGGATGCTCACAGCAAGCGCTCCTGTCAATCTCTCCTATGGATAACAGTGCCGCATGATCCGAACTTGCCCAAACTCGTTGATATATGGCTGGCTTCCGGTCCGAACGATCCAGGGTCCGTTGACCGGCTTCTCTCGCTCGCTCCCATAAGGCCAGATGCCCTCCATGGTCAGGCGAAACCCATCCTTCGGCTCCCCATTCTTGATCCTCAACTTCTCGAAGAGGACATATGCCGCATAGAATACTAGGGCCGTGTTGCCCACGAGGGCACCCTCTTGCTTGAGGAACACGTGCAGCAAATCGGAGTTGATCGTCTTCTCGCCCCCAGGGAAAGCCGCCTTGGCCGCATCTCTCAGGAACCCGGCCTTGGTGACACCGGGCCTCTCGACATGCTTCCGGATCATGTCTCTAACCCGATCACAGGTCTCAAACACGGGCACCTCAAGCTCATCGTCCTCCTCATCCTCCAATTCAATACCAGAAACATCATACTCCAAGTTTCCATCAGCTGCACGGCCGCTACCTCTACCCTTCCCCACCGTAGCCGCCGTAGCCGTCCTCGCCCTCTTCTGCGTAACCGTGGCCATAGCCACGGCCATACCCGTACCCATACCCGTACCCGCAGTAGAATTCCCCGTACCATCCCCCAAAACCTGCTGCTCCTGCTGCCCCTGCTACCCCTGCCCCAGCAGCATCCCACCCACCCGCCTCCCCTCCTCCCTCCCGCGAAAAAAACTCCCCCGCCCGAACAAACGTCACCGACCTCGCCCCCTTCTCCAGGCCAGCCTGGCCCACAAAATCCCGATACGACTTCGCCGACACGCCAATCAGCCGCTGAAACTGGCCGGGCGTCATCTGCTGCGCGCCGAGAAAGTCCCGAATCTCCCGGCGGACCTCATCGCAGTTCTTGTTGACGAAAGGCGGACCGCGCGACGACCGGTTCTCCTTGTCTTTGTCGGGGTGGTGGTGGTGGTCATCATCCCCGGCGTCAGAGATCGATCACGTCCAGCTGCGCGTCGGTCGAGGAGCGCTTCTTCGTGTGTTCGTCCCTGCCCCAAAGGGTTTGCGGCGGCGGTTGACGTTCAGCTCCGGGTGGAAGGCGGAGGAGACCAGGCGGGTGAAGACGTCTCGGTACTGTTCGGGGACGGCGGCGAGGCGGTCGGTGAGATGGTCGGCGAGTTGGTCGCGGGGAGGCATGCTTTGGTGGGTCGATGTGAGTATAGGGTTGCGGTAACCTAGTGTATAGGGTATAGAGGGGGTGGGGAAGGTAGATTGAGGCAAGAAAGATTTGAAGTAAGGAATGAAAGAAGAAACAGAAAGAAAACGTCGCGCACGACGATCATTTTCCTCTTGTTTACTTTTTTCGAAAACGCCGTTTGATCGGTGGTGACCTGTTCGCGTCAATGGGCCACCTAGAACCGGGCCACCGTGTAATGGGCCACACCTCCTTCCCGAACACCACCACGTAGTTCCGGAATGCCGCATTCTCCTAGGCAAGTATAGGACCTGGAAAGGCTGAACATGATCATCCAACGTATCAAGAAAAAAAGTGTATTCATTGACTTGCAGGCACAGATAGCTCGGAACTCCCAAGAGCAGAAAAAGGAAAAAGAAAAAAAAAAAAAAAAAAAAATCATGTGCGCCTTTTCCTACCTAAGAAAAAAAAAAAAAGCTTCAAAGAATCAAGTCATAGTGAACCCCATCATTGATCACCAAAGCCACGCGTCGATTCTACCCAAGCCTCAGTATCTCCAACAAACTTCCTGACAGGCATCCGATGTCCTGGTGCTCTTTGGCTTCTGCTCGGCCACCTCCGCCCTGTGATATTGTACAAAATACAATGGGATATTATTGAAAAAAAAAAAAAGAAAGAAAGATGACACCACCTTTCAACGTTCCTGCCCAGATCATGACAGCAGTAAAAAGAACAGATATCATTAGATATTCTTCGCCACTCGAAAGACGTGTCCAACAATGCATGGCGTTTATGACGAAATGAAAAGATCTCATTACAAGTCCAAGGCCTTGTAGTCAGCCCCAGCCTCGGCGCTCAAGGGTTGCACCCCCCGGCTAGCATCAGCACCCGTAGGCTGAAAGTTGTACCGGTTTCCGATACCCGCCGTGGCGGCATCAGCGAGCAAGGCGTTGGTCTCCTCTCCGGGGCCCTTCAGACTGACCGATTGAAGAGTGTCTTGAATCTCCTTGACTCTCTTCTTGAAGGCCATTCGGTCCAAGAAGAGCTGTTGGCGAGCGAGCTCGAGTTCGCGGCGTTCGGCCTCGATGATCTCCTCCATTTCGTTGAACTGTGCCAACTTGATCTCGAACTTTTGTAGCGTCACGTTCACCGCAGCCGAGACCAGGCGGGTCATTTCCCGTTCTTCGTGAGACGCCAACGCACCAGCGCGGGCAGCAGAGGCAGCCAGGGCAACAGTAGGGATGGAAGCTTTGCCTTCCTTGTTGGCACCGGTGCTCTGGGCCGTCTCAGCGGCGGGCTCCTCGCGAGTAGCATCCACCTCCATGGAGTCTTCTGCCTTCACTGCACTTTCCTTCTCTTTGCCCTTGTCCTGGGTCTTCTCGGCTTTGGAACCCTTTTCAAGTTGCTTTCTGAGCTCCTTGCGGATTTCCTCCACCGAGCGACCAGCCGCGGCAGCAGCCACAGAAGGCTCGGCCATCTGGGCCAAGAATGCGACCACGGAAAGGACTGGATTCTCGGACTGGCTGATCGGATCGCGTCCAGCCGCCGCCCGGACCTCGGGGGTGTCGTCAAGGTACTTGTCCTCAATCTCGAGCTGCAGGAATTTCATCACGCACTCCTCCTTAGTCCTCGAGCCGACATGGTTGGCAATTTGTTCCCAGTTATCGTCAAAGTTCTCCAAGCCCTCAAGGAGCAGGATGAGCTCCGAGTCAGACCACGGGGCATCTTTATCGGGGGCGATTGTGTAAGGGCTTTCTTCGAGTTTGACGAAATCGGAGGCGTTGTGGCTAGAGGGCATCCTGCCCTGCAAGAAACAATTGGGGCAGAGGTCATACTTGCTATCAGATGCGGCGTTGGCGGTCGCCGGCGTCGATTTGGCGTAGTGGAATCTGAGGCGAGTGCAGTCAATACCGCATGAGAAGCAATGGAACTTCTTCCTTGGCTCCTTGCTGGCACTCTCCAATGCCTTGGTCGCATCACCAGGAGTGCCGTTGGCTGCCGAGCCCTCGCCATTGGTCTGCTTCTCCTTGTCTTCGCCTGCAGAGGTAATCTCCTTGCCCTTGTCGTCATAGACGTTACGGCGGATTTCGAGGTTGAGATCAGCCTTAGAGGCAGGGGTGGCTGATGCTGCGCGATCGGTAGCGGGGAGAGGCTTGCCGGGCTTGACGAAGTGATTGGGACCGGGCTGGAAAGGTTGAAGACCCCTCGGCGTATCGGCCACCACTCGGAAGTGACCCGTGAAAGGAGGACCGATGTTCGATGGGCGTGTCTGAGGATCGACCTGGACATAATGTCAGCATATAAATGCGGAAAATTCGGCAGCAAGTACTCACTTGATAGTTGATCAAGCCCCACTGTTCCAGGAAAGAGTGAACCCGCATGATTGCGCATACGTCTCCGGCAAGATTCCGGCGGCATGCAGTGACTGTGAGGTATTCGATGGGGTTAAGTCTGTATGTGTTGATCATGAAATCACGGTAGTCCTTGTAGACCGCGGGGGTCTTGCTGCGGTTTCGACCGTTGAAGAATTCGGCGAGAGCTTTCTTCTCGATAGGGTGGATCAGGTGCATGTCGAACCAGGACGTATAGCTAGGGAGAATGATGGCATGGGTTTGTGAAACGAGATGTGAGCGCGCGGAGTTTTCAGCCGAAGCCTTGGACTGTGCAGGCTGCTCCTCCGCTGTGCCCTCTGCTCCTGATTGTGCAGCAACTTCAGCAATCTCCACGCCCTCGCTTTCCTTCTTGGTTTCGGTCTCTGTGCCGCCCATCTCCTCATCTTCGGGTTCGCCATCGGCAGTCTGGGGTTTCGGGGAAGCAGGGGCATCTAGTGGGTTATCAGTCTCTGGAGCTGTGGGTTTTCTCTCTTTCTCAGTAGATCTTTCTTGCGACTGCGATCTCGCCATCCCACAGTTGCGATGGTCGACATGTCCCGATTCGCTGCGGGTGGAGGGAGGCAACACTTACCGGAAGCACTGATCACATCACCCTGAGCATCCTGGGCGGCGGTGTTCGCCTGGATATCATCGGCAGGACCGCCGGAAACGACAGGGCTGTCTTCCATATTGTTGATCTGATGGCGGGAGATGACGGTTGATGTCGCAAGCAACGGAGAACAAGGAATCTTCGCGCTCCTCAAGCTTCAAGGGATTGGGTAATCGAAGTGCCGGTGCGATCCCTAGTGCGGTTGTGCTTGGGATCCTGAAAATATCGAGGAAATTGAAGGGATTCAGCAGGTGGTAATGACCACCAAGATAGCAACAAGTCGTGGGGAAGAAAGGTGGTGGCTTGGGAGCAGAGCGACTTGTCGCGACACGGGCCTCGCTCCAAAAACTCGCGCCAAGAGTCGCTGGGGCGCTAGTCCCATTACGTACTAGCCCATCTTCCTCCATCATCATTCTCATCTATACAAGGACTATGAGTAATTTGCAATCATTTATTTTAAACCAACTTGATGGTCATTTCGCATCTCATAATCTACTTTTGTGTAGCCAGATTTGCATTACTTGAAGTCAAGAGGTCAATATTAGTTGCCTGCTTGACAACACTTCTACGGAACGAGCACACAATATATCAACACGGCACCAAGGCCGTCTCTACAGCGAACCTCTGGATACCATCGCAACTGTGATTCAGTGTATTAATACTCGCATAAACAACAAACAAATCAGTGCGCACACGCTTCGAAATCCAAGATTAAGCTCCGGGTTCATAGCCCACTCCCTCCTCACTCCTATTTGGCACTGAGATTCTCCCTGTACGTCTTCAGGCACTTTGCGATCGCAGGTCTCGCCTGCAGTCTCTGCAGCCAAGCGTTGACGTTGGGGAAGTCCTTCTCCAAATCAATGGCATCCCCAGTAGCCATAGGAACAATCTGGTACCACTGCACAAACGAAGCGTCTGCGTAGCTGAACTTTCCATCGACCAGATACTCCCGACCTTCCAGGACCTTGTCCAGCACGCCCGTCACGCGGCGGATCTCGTTCAAGTAGCGCTCTTGAGCACTCGAGATCTTCTCGGGGTGGAAACGGGTGAACCAGATGAATTGACCGAAGTACGGTCCTTGTCCGGACATCTGGAAATGGAGCCATTGCTTGGCATGGAAGTAGCCCGGGGTGCCGGCCTTGGGGCTGATCTTGTTGTCTTTATCGTAGGTCTCGACGAGATATTCGATGATGGCACCAGACTCCCACAGGGTGATTCCGGTGTTGGGGTCTTCAATGGCGGGAACACGGCCGTTGGGGTTAATGGAGATGAAGGGCTCCTTCTTGATGGTGTCGAACGGCACATATTTGTGCTCAAACGGGATTTCGAGCTCTTCCAGGATCATGGCCACCTTCCAGGGGTTGGGGCCGCCTTGGTGGCCGTGGAGGATGATCGGCTTGAGAGACATCTTTGGGTAGCGGAAGAATGTGTGGCAAAAGGTATTTGATTAAAGTAGTTGAGATGAGGTTATCTGGAGGATTGAGGCTGTTCGTGATGATGGGAGCTCATCTTGGGCAACGTCCTACGTTCCTTATATAGTTGAGTTGAAACGCTGAAGCTTCAGGACAGCATATCCTTTTGGATATCCCTCATAATCTGTCACTTTCTAGAGTGACATAATGCATAGCTTTGGGGTCACCGCAAATGTGGATGTTGAGTAAGTCGCCGGCTCATGAGACAGGTTTCATTGCCGAATCTCTGACCGCTGACAAATGCACAGCATTGGGCGTGTCTATGATCAACATCTCCATGGTAGGGGAGGAAGTGGTAGGTGCTTCAGGGAAAGCCTGTGCATAATTGAAGTAAGGAGTATGTCCCTTCGGTTATTTTGGTTCTTCTTAATTTGTCAGGAACGGTGTGTCGGGGTTATATGAGTCCGATCGGGTGGGGAGCTCGAGGTTGACGATACCCAATCCGGGCGCATTCAACATTCTAAGGAGAGGTGCATTAGAAATCAACATCAGTGGTTATGTGTGATCCCCACACATAGCTTGGAAGCGGTCAGGATCGATGATCATGGAGCCACTTGTTCAAGGCAGTATCTTGGTCAACTAGCACGATGACTAGGTTACTAAAACAGGTCCTGCTGACAATGCAGTCCTGCAGGTAATGATAAGCAGTTGGCACAGGCGTTCTGTTTGCTTACAGAGCCCTACATTATGGCTGAACAATACCAGTAGAGGTCTTGTGACAGCGTGATATACTGGTAAATGCTCACGCTATACCATTGTAGGTTAACTTCTTACAAACATGAGGGAGTATGGCAATGAGCGAGGCTCGCGAGGCGCGCGTGTCATAAGCTTTCATAGTTCGCTTATAGCACATTAGACCAAACCATCAAACAAGCTTCAAAAGGGTCGGTAGCTCAGTGGTATGAGCAAGAGATTGCAGATCTCGAGGTCGCGTGTTCGATCCACGCTCGGCCCTCAACAGCTTTCCTTTTTGCCTGCTAAATCTTCTCTTGGGTGTTTCTTTTGGCCAGAGCTTCTTGCCATATGTAAAGTTTTTGAGCAGTTGGCTTGCGGTAGGGAGGAGGTCCACCGATGGTTAATTGATGCTGGCTTGGTGCCTGAACGCAAAAGGCTTGGCTTGTCTTTGAGCTACACCACTCTATGCAAATCCACTAGGAGCTTTTGCTACCCATCGCATCCCACTCGTTACTTTATCTGCCTCGGCATTCATTCATTGCTCTTGCTAGATCTTCAACCTGATTCATAGTGTCAGAAATTGTGCGGCAAACCATAATTCAAGGGTCGGTAACTCAGGGGTAGAGTGTGGGACTGCAGATCTCATGGTCACGCGTTCAAATCGCGTTCGGCCCTTGTCCTCTTATTTTTGGCCTGTTACCTATGACTTTGTCAATGCTAAAGAAGTTTAACAGTAGAAGCTCGTGTCAGCTTGATCATTGTTTCTGTTTGTTTTTTTTTTATCACGCAATCTATCCCACTGCTTTCTTTATTACGTCAATCTTTTATTTATCGTTCTGCCAACCTTAATTGTGGCGTTCCATAGAAGAAGCATTGTATTCGTGGTACTAGTGCTTGGGAATCTGAAAATATATTCCGTGCTGGGTATCGCAAAATGGTATAATGTACACAAAAATCACCCATCCAAAACACGCTACATATTAGAAGCCAAGTCGAACCCCCCCGCCTCACTTCTCGTGCAATAGCTCATCCAAAGCCATACCAGCAAAGTCAGCATCGCGAACTCTTCCAGGACTCGAGCCTGGAGGGGAGATATCATGCTGAGCAACAGTGTTGACTCGACCTGCGTCAACCCCAGCAGAACCCGAAGAAAAAGGTTGCATATACCCTTGCTCGAGACATCGTCTTTTATTCCTGTTTTCAAGAATCTCGTCCTGCAAGTCAAAAGCATCGTGACCATATTCCTCCCACTCGCTCCGGTAGTGTAATCGATCCCGCCAATCGAATAGATCATCCATCGATTTCCGCTCCCCAATAGGTCTTTTGCGAGGTTCAGGCTTCATCTGTCGAGGATCTCTCTCGTTTGACCCGTCGGTCCCGGCATGACCATGTAATGGAGTAGGCGGAGGCGGCCGACCGACTAGCTCCCAAAGGCTAGACTCTTCAGCACGGCTTGCTTCCCGATCGACAAATTCAGCATGTTCGTCCTCAGAGTCAACCGGACTCTCCTCCAGGCACTCTGGTAGAATTGGCTGCCCATAGAGAGGGGGCTCGATATCGTCACCGGCGTCCGAATCCTGGTCGTCAACCACCTGGTTCCCATCTCCACCCCTAGAGATGCTCCTCGCGATCGAGTCCAACTGGGAGGGTAGTGGTAGCTTCCCAGATAGAATGTTCTCTACCTCGTCATAGTCCATCCGTATTGACTTCCAGTCCTTCACGTGTCGATTATCCACAACATCGAGGGAAAGTCTCCGGGCAAGACCAACCCAAAACTCAGAGCTATCTCGCTTCATGTTCAAGACATCCAATGCTGTTCTGATATCGCGAGTTCTAACTTCGCGAGCCCTCTCCCGGCCGTCATCCTGCGATTTTCGCAACCTTGCATCCGCAAAGAAGAGGGACGACTGTACCAAGCGGCGCGTTAGACTCACAGCCAATGCATAGAAGTCAGCGAACACATCCGCCGTCAGGGACGGGGTTTCATCTGCGAAGGACAAACTACGCCAGTTATCATCCAAACGTGTGCCCCCAGAGTTCATGAAAAATCGCTCCGAGAGATGAACCCAGTTCTCCATTTTGAACAAGCTAGCCGTGAGATGCACACTGGATCGGTGGTGAACATCCTTATCCGGAGAATGGGGCTGCTCGTCTAGAGTCCCTGTTCCTAGATCTTCTGCTGCCCGACCGTTTGTATTCTCGGCCTTTTGATTAGCGGTATTTTCATCTTTCGCGATTCGATAATCTGGGTCTTCGGCTCTGGCTCGACGGTCGGCTTTTTCTGTTCTGGCTCGACGATCCAATTCCAGAGCTTTCTCATGATCGACGACCCAGAAATCGTGATGCTGGAGCCTCCCGGCAACATCCCCATCCTGTTGCTCTTCCAAGCGCAGTAATTCGGCATAATGATCCAGAGTTCTGTGACATTGATTGCTGATCTCGGTGGCAGCGGGAACATCGGCCAAAATGATTGTTCGGCTATGCGATTGCTTCATATGGCGCTTTTGCAGACCGTTCTGTAAGAGTCTGAGATGTTCCTGCACCTCGATTTCCGACTTCGAGCCGAGTCTGCGGGCAGCCTCGCGGATTCCTTCCCTGCCCTTCCGGTCCAAGATGCGATATAAGACCCCCTTCTCCTGTGGATTCCAAACCACGACTCCATTCTGCGTAGAGTTATATGTCTCGGCGTCGGGATCCGCAAGATCGGGCGTGTCATCATTGGTAAGTTGTCTTAACACATCGGCGTAGATATCCACTGCATTTCGCGGAAGCGCGGACTGTAGGTTCTCGAGAGCCGATGCTCGTGTGGTACTTTTACGTGTTACCCCGGAGGGCTCCGCGTGGGTTCTCTCATCATGCGTATTATCCAATGATGATGCTGATCGGGTGTTCTCGTCGGTGTTGCAAACAGGGTCCGATGGATCATCGTCTATCGAATTGCTCATGATCGACTAGCTCACACCGGATGCGTAGGTGAAACGAATTCCGAACCATCGCCCCAGTTTTACATGAAAACCAATAGAATGACCATCGGCGCAACCAAGGTGAGGAACAATAAAAGTTTTAGGTGAGTGGAGGACACAGACAAGGTAAGGTGACTTTTATTTTTTATCGGGGAAGATTTCTGATAAGAACCTGTTTGCACTGTTTGCTTCCACCCGATAGACACTTAGCTTTTTATTGCCCGGAATTCTTTCCGTAGGCGTCTCTCGGTTCAACGCGGGAGGTTTATCGCTTTCACTCCATGGCATCTGAATGGACCGTATTCGCCGGAAATTGGGATCGATTCCCATTTCAATTGGGTTGAGGATACCGAGGGCTCCCTGGAAACCCAATGTACGCCTCGCGTCTCTGCGCTACAGGTCTGCTGTAGCATACGCGGATGAAGCACCAGCAGCAGCAGCTCCCGAACCGCCTGGGATTGTCCTTCGGGACTACCAGGAGGAATGCATCCAGTCGGTATTGGATCACCTGAAACAAGGTCACAAGCGCCTGGGAATCTCACTAGCCACGGGCGCGGGCAAAACGGTTCGTATGGAAAAAAGCATTGAGATTATAGTGAGGGCCACGACTGACTGACGCGCCTTCAGGTCATTTTCACCCAGCTCATCGGACGCGTTCCGCCGCGCAATGGAAAGCACGACAAAGCGCTGATCCTCGTCCATCGAAGGGAGCTCGTTGAACAAGCTGCCCGACATTGTCGACTTGCCTACCCTGATCGGACCGTCGAGATTGAGATGGGAAATACCGTGGCAACAGGACATGGGGACATAATCATCGCGTCGGTGCGGAGTCTGACGTCCAAGGACCGGATCGAGAAATTCAATCCAGCACATTTCAAGCTCATCCTGGTCGACGAGGCGCATCATATCGTTGCGCCAACCTACCGCACTGCCTTGGCTCATTTCGACCTCAACGAACCTTCATCCAACTCTCCCGTTCTTGTTGGGGTGTCGGCCACGTTCTCACGCTTCGATGGCCTCAAGCTCGGCGCTGCCATTGATCACATCGTGTACCATAAGGATTATATGGATATGATTGATGAGAACTGGCTTTCGAATGCCGTGTTCACCACCGTTCGCTCGCAAGTTGACCTAGCGAGGGTCAAAAAAGACAGATTTGGCGATTTCGCCGTCGGCTCCCTCTCCGAAGCAGTCAACACGGATAGAACCAACGACATTACTGTGCGAGCATGGCTAGCCAATGCAGAAGGCCGCAAGTCTACTTTGGTGTTCTGCGTGGACCTGGCGCACACTAAAGAGCTCACCGCGAAATTCCGGAGTCTGGGGATCGATGCAAGATATATCACGTCGCAAACCCCTAAGGATGTCCGCGATGAGCAACTACGCAGCTTTAGGAACCTGGAGTATCCGGTGCTTCTGAACTGTGGACTCTTCACGGAGGGCACTGATATTCCTAATATTGACTGCGTACTACTTGCAAGACCGACTCGTTCTCGCAATCTCTTAATTCAGATGATTGGAAGAGGCCTGCGGTTGTTTCCTGGCAAGAAGGACTGCCATATAATCGATATGGTAGCCACCCTCGAAACTGGCGTCATTTCTACACCGACCCTTTTCGGACTACACCCGGATGAAATACTGGAGAAGACAAAAGTGAAGGATATCAAAGAGAAGAAAGACGACGAAAACAATTACCGAGAGCAGCCCGACTCCAAACTCTCGGAACCCTATGCCGAGGACCCTGCTCAATCGGGCGACATCAAGCTCACCTTCACCAAATACGACACGATTTATGACCTCATCAATGACATGAAGTCCGATAGACACATTCGCTCTCTGAGCCGCTACGCCTGGGTCCGGGTCGCCGAGAATCGATACGTTCTCTCTGGAACAGCGGGATGGCTCACCATTGAGAAAGATTCGGAGCAGCAGCAGCCCGAGAAATGGACGGTACACCATGTTTTGCAATTCGGATCATCCCAAGAGACTAAAAAATATGCCCGACCTCGTCTTATTGCCTCTGTAGCGGGCTTTGAAGCGGCTGTTCGCGCTGCGGACACATTCGCTGGTGCCGAGTTCGAGGAGCGATACATCTCTGCCCATCAGCCATGGCGCCGGCAACCGGCCACGCCGCCGCAGCTCGAGAGGCTCAACAAGGCTAAGATCCGTGACGGCACAATCACGGCTACAGATATCACTCGAGGGCAGGCGGCGGATATTATTACGAAGCTGAGGCATGGTGGCAAGAAGCGATTCGCCAAGAAGATCAAGGCACGACAGGTCGCAGCAGATAAGGCTCGAGAATTCGAGGATCTGAAGCGAAGGACAGAGGTGAAGGTTGGGCCCTTGGAAAACTGAGAAGATCAACAATGTGATAACCGATCTATCTCTCTTTGGCTACACGTGGAGGGCCATAGGCTTTATCTACACCGGGTCATCACGGCGAAGACTGCGACGGCAAGACTTGTGACGTTGACTAAGAGAGCTTTAGCGGGCTAGTCAAGATGGATTTGGACGGGGCATATCAGTAGATCAACACAAAGCTTCAAGTAATGTAATGGTATGCTCGAGCACTGTACTACTAGCCGAAGATACCTGGAAGCATGGAGTGTTTGCCCACTTTGCCGTGCTTGAAGACCTGGCAGTAACCACCGGGCACCCATTTAAGCCTTCCGGCTCGCCTCGCCCGGCCATATTCATCTCCCTCCTCAAATTCGCAAAGCTCCCTAACCCCCCGGCTCAAACAGTCTTCAACACCCCATTCGAGAAATCAAAGTACTACTCCAACAGAGAAGTCCCATACTCCAAGCAGGAATGATAGTACATGCTCACATACGCTCCTTTCTCCTCCGTATACGCGAGGGACACGATGCTGTGGACCCGAGTGGTTCGGCTCAGATCCTCATGCGCACTGCCAGCCCCGTTAGAAAAAAAAACAAAAAGGTGATCGCGGAAAGGAAGAGGAGAATACTCACAAAACATACTGCAGGTCATCGATGTAAGTATTCGCCTTATCCTCCCAACCGAGTGACCGAAAAAACCGGGCCAGAGCCCTGGCCGCAAATAAGTCGTTCTTCCGATGCAGCGACAGGTACATCTTGGGGAGAGGCGTCTCGCGATCCGTATGGATCTCATAGTTCCAAGCTAAGACGAAGAGCTCCCTGGCCAAACAACTCTGCCGGTGGGCTTCCTGCTCGTCTTCTGAGTTTCCAGCCAGGTGGCGTCCACAGCTGCACATTCCCGCCTCGTCATCTTCCTCCAGATACGCCCACAGCCGACGCAGCAGCTCGAGACCCTTCTCACACCACGATTCTCCCTGCGCTTTCCCCCCCAGCGTCCACACATCCTCCGCCTTCTCCAGACTTGGAGGCTTCTCGCCGCCACACATCCCGTAGAGCTTCAACCTTGACGTCGCCGCATCAGCATAATCCCACCCTAGAAAGTTGAATTCCGTGAAATGATTGCCGGCCTCCAGATATTCGACCGCCATCCGCGCCGCAGCCACATTTCCGGTCCCGGTTCGCGCGTACATGCGTGCCAGACACTCGAGAACGGCGGCTCCCAGCGCCGCCGGGGCGAGTTTCCACCGGACGCCCAGGAACGCATAGCCCTTGGCTGCGATGGTGCCGGCAGGCAGGAAATCAAACCCGATGCAGTAGGTGCCTTGCACCGAGTGGGGCTTGAATGCGTAGTCGCGCACGAGCCGTTGCTCCTCCTCGCCGGAGACGGCGAAGTAGCCCATGATCTGCCGGTGCAACTCCATGTCGAAGGCCTTCAGCCCCTGAGCTGCCACCTGGGCGGATATTTGCGCGGCCGCCACCTGATTGAAGCGGTCATGGGCCGTGTCTGTCATCGGTCCAATGGGTTCCATGGTGAGACGCACGGTCGACGCGGAGCCATTGCCCTGGAAATTGAGGCTCATCTCGAATGGGTGGCCCGTAATGGTTAGCAGGCTGCGCCATTGATGCGGGTACGGGCCTAGGAAGGGTACGAGCTGATTGCGGAGGAAGAGGAGGTAGTGGTACTGTTGGGGTAGAGGGTATTGTGCGACTTGGAGGAGGCGGCCCATGAGCGGGGCGATGTTCTTCCACCACTTCAGCTCGTTGGGGTTTGGAGGCTGCGTGGGATATTGAACGATGATGTCCCAAGGGCTGTCGGAAGCCTTGCTCTTGGAGGTTTGTGTTTTACGAGCACCACGAAGTGTGGTGCCCTTGTCGGATATTGTTGGCGGTGATTCCGGCAATGGAGGTACCGGCTGCGTCAGTGACTCCTGCGACTGGTCTGTTGTTGCCATCCTGGATCGATGTAGAGGTAGGTGGTTTCTGTTGGGAGGTAAAGTGATCTTCCAAGACAGGCTTGGTATCTATAGTCTCCAGATGCTATTCGACAAACTGCGGAAATAACCCCAGGTGTTCAAATTTGCCTGACATGGAATATGTCAACGGTGGTTGTTGCATGCTAGCTGACTGCGTCAACGAAACGCCAGGTTTTTGAACTATATTGAGTCCTCTCCTGCTTTGACGGCACCCAAGAAGTGCCCCAACCTCGTCACAGGATCTGTTTAGAAAGCCCCCTCAAGATATACTCCGAAGTCCGCTTCCCTTGGCTTAACAGGTTCCACCACTAGCATGGCCAAAGTTTGGCGAACGTAACCTTGTCCTCCTCGACGAACGACCCCAGTATTCCTTCCGACGCAATTAGCAAACAGCCACGGGAGAAGGGGACACTGGCAACAACCCTTTATCAACAGTGACTGGACTGGAGCAACTGCTCAAACATGACCGAGCCCGCAGAATGTGTTATCACTGGTCCATGCGGAATCGACATGAACATCCCGTCCCGTGAACACAATGCTTATCCGGTGACACAGTTCCAAGCAGCATCAAATAGTCATCCACGTACCCAGCAACGACTATAGCTATACAGCATTTCCGCAGAGATACTCCCCTACAAATCTCCATAATACGTATCCCACGAGAACCAATCAAACATGCTATCGAACGTCCGGCGAGCCTCCTTACCCTTACCTAGAGGACTATGCCCGGGCAAAGCCCCCATATCAGCCGGGAGCAAGTCAAGGTAGCTGGCACCATTGAGTTCTTCTAAATGTATCTGAAGGTGCTCGTCACCGTGCTGTTCGTATGGTGGATTTTCAGTTCCAGTGGAAGTGGAGTGAACATTCCTCGCGAGCTGCAAGAAGGTAGCCGCAACGTGCTCGAGCCTGGTACATAGCGTCGCCAGGAGACGCATCTGCGAGCGCATGCTTGCGAAATATGTCACCGTTGTCGCGAGGAGGTTGAGATCGTGTTCAACGGTAGGTGTCACCGGGCCTGGATGGTGCACGATGTTCTCAAAAATGACGAAGAAAGAGGTGAAGGGATAGTAGAGAAGGTGCCTTTCCCTCCAGTTAGTGATTAGTTTCATTAGCACCATTTTAAGCAGGAATCAGGTGTACTTTACCAGGTGACACCGTTGTATACGGAATTCCAACCGGAGACCATCGACGTCAGAAGGGATAGGGCTTCACGGGCAGATGACAAACGGAGACTTGACGAAGACTCTTCACCTTTTAGTAGCAGGACCAGCACGTGCAGGTACTGGAACTTCATGCTGTTGATGCCGAGGGTCATTTCCCGGACTTGGTCGGCTGTGGATGATGCTCTCTCAGCTTCCAGAGTTTCTGTCATACGCTGTATTGGGGTGAGAGGAGTCCTCTGAATGGAGAGATGGGGTGGATACCCACCTGGTTTGAGTACGAGTACCAAGCATTTAGCCTAGAACGTAGTTCCGCGCGTGGGTAGATTGTGGAGTGACCGGTAGCAAGGACATCCGCAAGGATCCCCATCAGCTTTGCTAGCTCTATAGAACAACGGAGCATCTGTGCACCGAAATGAGATACTCGTTGGGGGATCTCTGTACCGTGCATACGAGTATGGGGCTGAAACATGAGTAAGGTACTTTCGTCCGGCAGAGGGACATGGTGATACAAAGCCGTGGGCAAGAAGGCAGGGCGCCCGAAGGCAAGAGAGCAGGATTTGTCCATCAGGAAGAGAAGCCAGAAGAGACACAAGTGATGCTGTCGCGATTCAAACGAGCCTTGAGAACTGGATATATGCATGCCCAGGGCTTCAGCCTGCCTGCATGCGCTCCCCAGCAGCATCCACGAGGTATTGGGCGCGGCGTAGTCCTCACCATGCATAGCTAGAAAGGCCAGTACTTGCACGTTGACCTCGCGCGGTTCGAGGAAGATGCTGCTATTGTTGAGGGCCAAGTGCACGTTTTGACGTAACACTGCCACCTCCTTGCTATCTACCTCGACGGATACGGCCGCCAACAGCATGTAGTTGAAGTAGACGACCCAAGCCTTTTCTTGAACCCTATGTGGTTCAAAGACGACTTGCATAATGACTTCGTCCGACGGACTGGTGAAAAATGGGTTGCCAAGGTCTGCTATCTCAAAGAATCCTGGTTTATCCCGTGTTGGAAGTCAGTTGCAAACCCGAAGTATGAAGCACGAATCGGGTAGCCCTACGACTGATCATTCGGTAGCCCGTTGCTCTGGAAGGCACATGAAAAACTGCTGCACTTTCTTCAGCCATTTGTTCAACATGACTCGTACCTAGCTGGTCAGACAAATATCGAAGCTCGGAGCGGGCGCTTTGGTGAGTAGCATTACTCTGTGGTCGGGGTATCTTTTCGATGCTTGCTGATGCCTCTTGCAAGAACGAAAATGAATGTGACGGGCCGATGTAGAGCTTCGGATTAGTACGATCCTTCTCAACCACGATTCTTTGGTTAGCCTGAAATGATAGTCTTAGATCATCTGTACGAGCGGGTGCTGAGGCCATGACTTGTAAAGCTTTATCGACGGATTTGGACAGTTGCTGCACTAGCTGCTCAAGATCTTGTAGTCGGCTCTCTATGGTACGCTCATCAATTGACCCACTACCCAAAGAGCTTGACAGTGTTCGTAATTAGTCCCCATGTTATATAGGCTCAATAGTGCAGGACTGACTTGACGTCGAATGTATCTCTCGAATAGATGCACTCGCCTGGCCATGGCTTGCAAGTATTGCATTTCGGCAGCTCCCGGGAACATCTGCTTCCCTTTAGTCAGGATTCTAAAAGCATGCGAGCATATATGTAAGCTTACTTTAGCTTCTTTTGTCTGCAAAAGTCACACTGTGCATGTCAGCGGCGATTGTTCCGGTGGCGGTCAATCTACAGTATAATACAGCTTACCGCAAATTGGGCTAATCTGCGTTGCATGGTAAAAGCACCTGGTTGGTCGGCCTCGGAAGGAGATTCAAAATAGCGAGCCTGTCACCTTTGTTCCAGGTAATTCGAAGCAAAACTAAGAGTTCAATGTTAGAAATGATGGCCGTCGGCAATGCAAAGTCCGAGATGATCATCCTTTGGTTCGGAACCTCCGGAATGAGCCAATCAGAACGCTTGAACGGAAACTCCGCGGCCCTTCCATAGATGCGGAATCGCGACAACGACGGCTATAAGTATGCCTTACGACGGCAGCGTATCTGAAGTAGATTGCCGATAATCATTCAGTTGAGCATCTTCTTGTGACAGAAGACACTTCTCGCCTCGAACTTTCTCTTCGTCGCAAACATTCTTACCCAAGCCATGAACTCAAACCCATCCATTGCAATCATTGGCGGCGGGCCAAGTGGTCTACTCTTCGCTCGCCTTCTCGAAATCAGCGGGATCACCGACTACATCGTATACGAGCGCGATGAGTCCGCCATTCCAGGTCCGTGGCAGCAAGGAGGCACACTTGACCTCCGCCCCTCCTCAGGTCAAGTGGCGCTCCGCCGCGCCGACCTATTCGATCAGTTCAGCAGGTTCGCCCGCTGGGATGCCTCGTGCTTTCATATGATCTATCCGAACGGAACTACGGCGATGCGCCATGACCAGGAAAGGGATGCTCCTGAGATCGACCGTCTGCATCTCCGTCAGCTGCTCCTGGAGTCGATTCCCACGCACAAGATTCGGTGGGGTCATGCTGTGAGAGTCGCCGAAAGGAGAGAGACCGATGGCAGCCAAGCTGTTAGTGAAGCTAGTGATATAGTCATTCATTTCACGAACGGGACCATCGCGTCTGGGTTCCGGCTGGTAGTAGGGGCAGACGGGGCTAGGAGTAAAGTCCGTCCTTTGGTGAGTTTTTCGAGGATTCAAGAGCTCCTCCCAATCGGATGATATGCCCTTTTTTTTTTCGTCGAAGAGTCCTCTAACCTGTAAGTCTACCGTCGATGCAGATCACGACAGCAGAGCCTGTATACTCAGGCAAGATGTTCATCGAGGGCCGCTTATCACACGACAACCCTGGGTACGCCACCGCCAAAGAGCTCGTCGGACCAGGAAGCATGTTCGCAGCCGGGCATCATAAAAAGCTGGCCATACAGCAGGTCTTTAATGGCACATATCGCGTGTACTTAGGGCTGCAAGCCCCCGAGGACTTTTATCACCACCGCGAGTGTAACAACAGCTCCTTTGGGGACAAAGATCTCAACAACCGCACCGAGCAATTGCGCAGTCTGCTGCTCTCGTCGGACGAGTACTTCGCCACATGGGGACCGCAGCTGAGGGAGTTTGTCGAAACCGCGGAGGGGCCCTTTCGTGCCTGGCCGCTGTATCGGATGGAGCCCGAGAAGCTTTGCTGGAGTGGAAAGACACCCGGGGTGACGCTACTGGGGGATGCAGCGCATGTCTCGACACCCTTTGTGGGAGAAGGGGTGAATTGCAGCTTGTATGACTCTGTCGTGCTGGCTGATAGCATTGTCAAGCATTGCGGTGTCGGTGCGGGATTCGATACTATGAGTGTAGAAGAGTTGAGCCGTGCTTTGGAGGAATACGAGGAAGATATGCTAGCGCGAGGACGAGATCTGATTGAGCGCAGCACGGCGATGGAGGACTTATTCTTTTCCGAGGATGCAGTGACAGGAGTTCTCGAGTTTTTCAAGAGTTTCAGTGAGAAGCCTGAGTAGAGACATCGGTGGATGAATGTTCGAGGTCCAGGCCTGTTCTCTGGGTGCTTCAAGAAGGATGGTTTAAATTGGCTAGGACCAAGGATCAAGCGAGGTAGTCAGTCGGAGGTTGAATATATACGTAGTACCTAGTATGTGTATGATGTGAAACTGGGTAGTCGATAGGAAAATGGCCCTTTACCGGAAGACGAGACGCGGAAACCATCATCCTGTTCTACCTGGCCTGAGAGGTAAGGCAACCAATATCAGTATAGGTGGGTGGGAGATCGATACAGTGCAGAGGATCGTTCCTTCTCAAATGAACTTCCCAGATCGACTTGAAGAAAAGGCGGAATGGAATGCACTAGTCTTCTATCACTGCTTTCTTGAACGACCATCAACTATCCCAACAAGCTAGACCTTATTATCCTTAACCCCTGTTATTTATTTCACCAACTTGGACCTCAATGGCAAGCAAGAGAGCACAAAAGAAAAACCTGAAGCGGGCACCTCCTCAGAACAATGCCAGGATGTGAGCATGGCAGCGTCCCCTCGTCCCCTCGTCCCCTCGTCCCCAGTTCCACAGATTGCTAACCACACACAAAAAACACCAGCCAACCGAAGCGCCCCAAACCATCCACCACTTTGATCAAAGTACTGGTAGGCCTGCACGGTACTACGATGTATCGAATCCCCGAACGAAAAGCACGCTCGTCATCGGAGTTTTTTGACAAAGCACTGGCGGGGACATGGAAAGAAGGCACGCAGCGTACTGTCAGGCTTCCCGACGTCGACCCCGGCACGTTCGGGGAGTATTCCTCATGGCTTTACCATTCAACCTATAACCCAAGTTCCAAGTTCAAAGACCTTGTCAAGGCGTATATTCTGGCCGACAGGCTCATGGCTAACGAATTCGGGAACCAGTTGATCAATGCGATTGTGACTCGGTTGAATGTTGGCAGCAGCGAAGACCGCTCTCCGCCTTCCAAAGAGGAGATGGAGTTCGCGTATCGGACGGTGCCTCCTCCGACGCCGCTTTACCAGCTGCTGGTGGATTTCGAAGTCCATGTGGGGTCGTTCGCGTTGAACTGGTTGAAGGACATCGGTCTGGACAAGTGGTTCTCGGCTATGGATGGTGAAAAGCTGAGCCGTGACGACCGGCTGACCCAGCGGTTCATGCTGCAGGTGATGTCTACGGCGATAACTAGATTTGCGTCTAGTCGACCTCCACCATTCCTGATAAGTGTCTCGGATTATCACCGAGCTGTGAGCGGTGATGAGGCCACCTGATATGGCTTCCCGTTTTATTCCACCCTTATTTAGAGTCATAACAATCATAGATAGCCCCTACCAGATGAAAAGATCATGTACCCTGCAATAGGAAATGCTCAGAAACAAACTACAAACCCAGCCCCGGTTTCCCTCTCCCCAAATTGGATATACGGCCCATAGTTCTTGCTAGCAAAGCACAAATCGGTATGATACTCACCAACCCTGATATCCGTTCCCTTCCCGACCTGCCCCGACTCCCAAGACGCAGCCCGCAAATCAAATCATCAAATCATCCTCGGCAGCACCACCGTAATGTCAGTAGTGACTTTGTCGGATATAAGCAAGAACATGCAGGAGTAAGATCAAGTTTTGGGCTGTTCTGTAACTTGGTGGTTATGTACAGTTCTTTGAGAGACAGAGGTTGATTTTTAAGTTGTGAAATCGGGAGATGTCTATGAGTCTCGGGAAGACCACTGCATTTCCCGACAACTGCATGAACTGAGAAAATCTGCGCTCCTGTCTGTCGTATCATTTCCTGGTGCGAGCATAGAAAAAGAAACCAAGAAGCAAAAAAGAAATCTCCCCGACTGGGAGTCGAACCCAGGTCTCCCGCGCTTGTTCCCGAGTGGGATTGACAAGCGGAAATCATGACCGTTAGACCATCGAGGAAAGGAGATGTATTCATTTCAATATTTTAAGAATATGACTATCTAAAAAAGCCCGCCCTATCGTCCGCCTTATACCACGGCACAATGAACCCTAATCTTCTTCCTCTCTATTAACAGAGTCAAAACAAAACAAAAGCACCCAGAGGCCAAGAACTCAATCAAAGCCCGGTTGATTGCACCTACGATCGCCTTCAAGCCTGCTACTATTCTGAGAGGTTCAAGCTCACCAAAAGGCTAGCCCTAATCCCGGATGTCAGGCTCTGAATCTGCGTATGATTCATCGAGGGAAAGAGTGCCAGGATCCTGTGCTGTGCCAGATTCGGCAAAATGAAGTTGTCGGTAGATAGATTAAGGTAAGTCCTTCGCCTCTCGCGCACATGCTAGAGCCAATGGTGTTGAAATTCTCCTTGGGTGGAATCAGGAACCGGACCAGGGCAAATGGGGCGATGAGATATATCCCTACCGATGCGGTTGGTGACCGTGGCGCCGTATATGACGCTATTGGATGTGGAAAAGTCGTCATGCATTGACATGGCGTTGGCCACATTGACCAGCATAGACCCAATAGCATCCCAGAGAATGATATAGCCCCCACAGGACCATGAGATGACCGTTAAAGAAATTGAAGGCGGCTAAGGCGCCAATGAAGGGCTGTAGTCGTACCTCTGCCGGCGGAGACGAGGCTATGCTAGACAAACTGGATATAGAGACGGGTAAAGTACAGGGTCACAAGGGATGAAGTGTCCGCAGCTGTACCTATTATATCACGAGATCTTTTTCCTTTCAGGAATGCACATGAAATATCAGATGCATCGGATGCTGACAATTTGGCCAAAACTGGTGAAATCCCGGGATGGTAACGAGAACACCTGAGACGCAGAAAAGTGCGATCTCGCAACTGCTGTTCCGAGCAAAGAGTGCGCTGCCAAACGAGAAACCATAAGTAAAGAGATTCCGGCCCCAGCATCGACAGACAAGGGAGCCACATAGTCCAATTGAGAGTCTGTGGATACTTCTGTGTCAGCCTTGGGATATCTCCAAGAGGGCTGTAGAGGCTGTTCTTCCAGGTGAGCGTCTCTGAGGACTTGGACATTGTAAGCAGTACGATGAATTTTCTTCAATGAAAAAGTCACAAAGTCACTTAATCTCAACGCAGAAAGAATCTCCTTCACATACAAGCCGTCTCGGAAGCGCAAGACTACAGTTATCTTCCCATATTCTATATCGTTCCGCACCACATCATGCCTTCATCATCGCAAATGGCATGCACTGCACATTCCGTGATTACTCTGGTTTAATCTAGCAAGGACTATATGGAAGTCGAGGTAGAAATTTCTCATATTCCGGTGACCTGTAACTTGGTGAAAATGTTAGCCACAAGTAAAGAGACAATTCAAAAAATGCAGCAGTACTAAGCGGAACAAGTTTTTATCAAGGCATTAACTTTCGCTCCAAAAGGGTCGGTAGCTCAGTGGTATGAGCAAGAGATTGCAGATCTCGAGGTCGCGTGTTCGATCCACGCTCGGCCCTCAAAGCATTTCTTTTTTACTTTTTTTTTTGTCTTACACTCTCAAGTGCTCCGCCTCGCAGGGATCGAGAATTGCAATTGACGTAGCAAAAGCAGGGAAAATCATGGCGTTTATCCTGCGGTCGTATTGCGTAATACTTCTCAATCGCTCTTGCATACAACCCTTAGTCCTCCCTCCTGTACTCTGAAAAATACATATTACCCGAAGTGAAAAAGCAAAATCAAGCGTCATTCAACCAGGGATAAGATAGATACCCTTCGCCTTGATCTGAGGTGGAACGAACCCCTATGCACTAAAAGAAAGGAGGCAGTTCTTCGGGATTCTTGTATCTATAGTGTCCAATGATTCCCTGTGAAAGGTTGCTAGGTAATCAAAGATTTATGATTTCCGACATCAACAACAGCAACAACAGCAACAACAGCAACAACCGATCCCTCGCGCCTTCCAGCGAGAATTTAAATGCCCACTTACCTGCTGACTCTGGCCGATGTGCTCCAAAATAGAGACACCGATGGGCTAGTACCTCGCCCTAGACAAAAAAGCCGAAGATGGCGAAGAGAGGGGACTCGCTCTTCCTCTAAACATGAACTGTTCATGCCCTAGTTCCGTAAGCTGTAGTCAAAACCCCGATATAGTGGAATACGAGGCAAGATGTATAACTATAATTTGCACTCGTGGCCAAATGATGTCAACATGGACAGGGATCAAGATAACCTGAAGGCGCCAATCTTTCCGTCCCTGAGTATAGTTCTCAGTTTCTTCAAGTTGAGGCATTTCCCCAGCATTCTGCACGAGGGGACGACCTTGAAGGGACTAGCGAAGGTTGGCCAGAAAGATCTGAAGACGGAAGATCTGAAGACAAGCTGAATGTGCCGTGAAGCGAATTGGCTTTAGATTCTCTTACAAACGTGCGAGTTTTGATGTCTGAATATCGTTGCTGCCATGACTTGTACATGAAAGTGTCTAGTCCTAGTCAGAGAAGACTCAGGTCAGATCGAGTTCGGTTGTCGGAAGGCTGACAGCTTCTCCGCCTTCGAACCTCGCTATAAGTATCGTCTCTTCCACTATAGCGATAATGGGACCCCGGTCTTTTGGCATTGCTTTTTCCCGCCGCGACGTAGCGTGTCCCGTTCGCGTCGCACCTGGAGCAACTCGCGCGAGTCACAACAATTCTCATCTTCAAGTGTATGAAACAGCAGGTTTTCTGCGTTGCCCACCAATCCTCAAGCCTTTGTACACCATTCTACCCATAGCGCAAGGATGACGGTCTTCTACCCCGAGACGGATATTCAGCTCCATTACGCCATCGAGCATACCTCCACCGAGCATCTCCAGCGCATAATAACTCGATTATGCGCCACCATTCCTGAGGCAAAGAGTCTCATTGCCTCCGAGCTTTTAGTACCGGAGGATAAGGTTCCTGTCTTCACCAGCGATGACGATATCTCAATCAAAGGCGATGGCAGCGAGGACGAGGACGAGGGCGAGGACAGCTATGATGATGAAGAATCCGGTACTGAATCGCAGATCTCTGGGGCAAGTACCAAGAGAAAGCGAGAAGAGTCCACTGCTTCAACCGCGGATTTTGATAACCCCCAGAAACGATTCAAGCCTCGCTACGCGAACTGCATCAATTGCGAAGAGGAATATGACGTGGCCGAGAATACAAACAAGAGCTGTCGCTATCATGAGGGTAGGATAATTCCAACATACATGCTTTATCAGTATCAGCTAGCTGACCGATCTGCCTCTTTGTCGCGGGTTAGAACCACGTGGCGAGCCCGACTACGATGATTTCTTCGCTGATGAGTTTCAAGAAGACTTGATTGATACTGATGAATACCGCAAGGACTATCCGGAGGGATACATCCACGAGTGTTGCGGCAGGAATACGCTTAAGCCTTGTCGAATGGGATTCCACCGGTCGAAATAGTTTGCTGGAAGCATTGGTTCTGCAGTTGTTGGCATGAAGAGTGGAACTTCTTCATCCTCTTCACTTTGTTGGCGGCCCTGAGGCCTTGATGGCCAGGCTGTTCACCGCCCACCGCGCCGATGACCCATGGTTCAATCGTTCAATCTAGGCGATGTGAAGATAGGATCATGAGAAGAAACCATGGTGAAGATGAGCAGCAACTCAAATAAATCATCTAATCTAGCATTTCATTTCGAAGCCACAGCTTCCCACATCTTGCACCACCCGACCCAAAAGAGGGCCCACTGCCAGTCTCCACAAAACTTGACAGGTGGAATCCTCCGGGTTTGAGATAAAGTGACTAGCATCGATGGAAACTGGTACGTACTATGTAGTATAAACTTGAACTTTCTCGCTTCGTGCATTCAGCCTCAAACAACGCGCCGTGAACGCGTGATCACGTAATGGCCCTACTGACTGGCTAGCTCACTTACCCTGTTCATTACAAGCCCAGTGGTTCCTTCGTCACTAATGTACCTGCTATCAGACCTTGTTCTTCCCCAGCACAATGGGTAACCGAGCGGGCAGACCACGCAAGTACTCAACCGAGGAGGCTCGGCGCGAGGCAATTAGGTTAGGAAGGGCGACGACGTTACCACAGATCACGCAGACGGCGAGATGATTCTGAGCCGCTGCAAGACGAGTCAGTATTGGAGTTCATCCCAGTGAACTTCGATGGAGCTACGCCACCACTGTTAGTGAGCGATCCTCCTGCAGAGCTGTTCGAGGCTGTGCAGCAGGCTCTATTGAGGAATGAGATCGCTGATAGGAGCGTCTGCGGCCCGATCGACTTAAAATTTGTTCTATACGAATCCAAGTCAAGAAGTATATCTCCGCAAACCCCCCGTCGAGACTCACGGCCATCAAGAAGTATAACCCAGAAAGCCTGCCATCGAGGCCCTGCCATCGAAGAGCCTGCCATCAAGAGGCTTCGTCAGGAGCTCGCAAAGGAGGGTGTTATACCCGCTGACTGCGAGCTCGACGATGCCATCGACCGTGCCTCGCGAGAAGAACTCCAGAATATTTTGAGAGACCTGTGCACAAAGGATCCCGAACTCAATGTCTATCTCGCCTCCTGCCTACAACCGGTCAACGCCCAAACACCTCCAGCAAGTCCTAGCACAGCAGATGCAGCCTCATCCGAAGTCGAGACTTTGAGCCCGATGACATTACCTCAATATTCTTCTGTGGCCTACACGAGTAGAGACCATCGGCATTATCTCAGTGGGTTACTCACAAGGCAGAAACTCATGAGACGTACTTGATACTAACATGCTGATTTGAGTGGAATTTTCAACACTAGTAGATCGAGATTTTTAGATACTGGTCTAGAACGTGATAAGCATAAAAGCACATAGCCAAGTGGCTGCATGCGCGGTCGTTGATGTTCAAAGAAAAAGAAATTCATTTCAGCAAGCTCGGAGCTATTGGCATCGTTAACATTGCTACTTGACAGGTCACACGTGATGCTGTGACAGCCATCTTCTCCACACCCCTGTTACATTGTCACATCTGAGAAGGACTTATCGATACGCCATCGACGATTAGCGCGACGTCTCTTCTCACAATCTAAGCAACCCCAATCGGAACGCCTCAATTCGACGATTGGGAAGGCTCTGCAGGTGAGTGGTGCAAGGAGGATTGGTCGGAGGCTTTCATCCATCCGTGTTGTGACAGAGATATCAGCCAGGAGCCCTGTGCAACGGGGTATCATCGGAAGGCTACCGGGAGAGCTAAGGAGAGGCGATGATCCCAATGCGGCGAATACGGAACTCTTCTTGACCTTTTCTATATATGTACGCACTCTTGTTATAATGCTGCGAGCGATTGTGTCTCCTTCCACCAGTCAACACGGATGCGACAATATGTACACTCCGAGAGATCGATTCTGCTTTGTGTTGAGACTGTGTAGAATCGGAGCTTACTTTGCCTATAATAGTCCGCGTGAATGTGCCCACGGTCTCAATAAATATAGTTCAGCCAGTATAATCCATAAGAACCAAGGAAATAAGCTTTCCCAACACAGCCTCGACGCATGCAGGTCCTCCCTCCGTCGCAGGTCAGTTCCTCGATGACAGCCCACTGCAATCTCAGGTTCCCTTATCGATAAGCCCTACCTTACCTACCTTAAATACTGAAGAAGCTTAGCCTAGCTCTGCTCCGACTCCCGAAAGGAGATTGCGTCCTCAGGCACCCACCCACCTGTTAAGTGAAGGGGGGATCCCCCATCGTCCAGTTCAATTTCCGTCATCTCCAAGCAACTCCAACTCAGCTCAACCCAGCTTCCGCGCTGCACTCTACGAATCCACATAACAACACCAACAACCACCACCACACCTACACCTACAACCACGACATCGACCTACCCTACAATCTCCATCTCCACCTCACCCCGAACTCCGACCTACAAACCCAAACCAGCAAAACCCCCCCGAACAACTCCCCCAAAATAAACCCAACAACTCAACACCTTTACTTGGAAGAACACAGCAATGTCCTCACACCACGAACCCCCCGCCTTCGAACCACGACAACCACAACAACCACAACAGCCATCTCAACAATCCCAACCACAATCCCAATCCCGAGAAGAACCCAAACAAAAACTCCCCATCCACACCAACCACTGCCGCTACTGCAACCACCTCCTCCTCGCGACAACCCGCGAGATCCCGACCCTCCCGCGCCGCAAACCCCCAGCCCAGGATGCCGCACTGATCCTGCCGCTGCCCCGCGCGGGGGAAGAGGAAGAACTCGACGACACCAACACCCCCAACCCCGAGAACGACGCCGCCGCCGCCGCCGCCAAGCAACCCCAGCCCCACTACACGATTCTCCTCTCCACCACCATCCCCGACCGGAAACCCACCGTGGTGCGGCGGGAGGATGGTTTCGAGAAGCGCCGGCTGCTCCGGTGCGGACGGTGTCGCGTCGTGGTGGGGTATTTCTTGGATGCGGTGCATTTTCCTTCCGGGGGTGTCGGGGAGACGGCAGATGAAGATGAGGATGAGGAAGGGAAGGGGCAGCGGGCGAAGGTGGTGTATCTGCTGCCGGGGGCGTTGATGGAGACGGGGGTTATGGAGGCCAATGACGTGGAGAAGTTGAGGGCGATGGATCGGGAGTGGGCGGGGTGGATGGAGAGTTCGTGATTTCCCCCAAAGGGGGAGATGCTGTTCCTACTGTTTTACGAAGCACACGTTAAAAACTATATACAGTTCCACAGGTTGGGAGATGCTGTAATTTGACATAGACTCAGGGTTTTGTCTTTCATTTCCAAATTTGCTGAATGGCATACGCCAGCTCCATATACACTACAAGCGGAATTAACTTTATAACAGATGAACTAATCTAAGCTCAAGCCGACAACTCCGGCAACAGGGATCGCACAGGGAAGAAGAAAAGAGGCATTTCGTCACGAAGCGTCAGGGGAAAGGGTATCGTATGTCGTTTAGTTGGCAAGGATGGTGCGGACGAGATCTGCAGAACGCGATATCAGTCTTTGCGGCAGTCGGAGTGGGGATATTGTCAAAACGTACCGGTATAGTTGATCTCGCCGGAGCTAGTGTCAACGGCCTTCAGCAACTCATCGACTTCCTCGTCGGACATCTTCTCGCCCAGGTTCGTGAGAACTATAGCCATGGTCAATATCGCAGATCCCCCAAAGCCAATCGTCCAGCGAGCATGAAACATACTGTAGCGCAGTTGGCCGACCCCAATAAACCCAGTCAAGTCCTTATCAAACACTTGGAATCCACGGGTGTATTCCTCGGGCTCGCCAGGATCGCGGAATCCTCCCGGGCGGTTGAGAACCTTCAAGAACGACTCGAAATCAACTAAATCACCGCCAGTCAGCAACAGTGCCCCTGATAAAGAGTCCCAGCATCACAGGCGCACATACAGTCTCCGCCCACGCTCTTCTCCAGATCCGCGATTTCCGCCAACGTGGGGTTCTGCCCGCAGGCGCGGAGGAGATCACCCAGCGACTCGATGGCGACCTTGCCGGTACCGCGCTTGTCGAACAGCGAGAATGCTTCCTTGTAGTTGGTCGAGGCCTGTTGATCGTGGTGAGAATGAGGTGAGTGGGCCATCTTCACACTGCGATAAAGATAAAGAGATAGACGGATAGAAAGGGCAGAGAAGGAATGGAAGCGATGGGGATGAAGAAGAGAAGGAAAGAGAGAGATTCAGATCGTGCAGCTGAGGTGACGAGCAACCAGCGACGCAGGGCTGCGATCCGCGGAAACGAGGGGCGGAAGGGATTGGACGGGCAGACGAGGGGGCCGGGATTCCACCATGGTTCCAAACAACTCTCTCGTAGATGCAACACCAGAGGGTCAACAACAATCAATTGAGTAATCAATCCCTGGTCTTAATGATAGCGGACGCACTGCATCAGGACGTAAGGTGTCGTCGCCTGGGCATTTCCTCATCCGCCCGCCAGGAACCCCAATGCAGGCCATGGCTCCATAAGCAATGAGATCCAGCCACGTACCATGGTTGTTGTTCTGATGATTCCACGAACGGAATGTTCTTATTGTATAAGCGAAGGTGACAAGGCGATGTATTGGCACGAAGAGAAATTAATCAGCACGTTCACCTGGTGGGGGGGAGTAAACACCAAAAGAGTCTCGAGTGGGTGGAATGAAGGAGGGGAGGGAGGAAGAGGAAAGGAGGTGAGGCGGTGGAGGAGGAGGAGGAGGGAAAGACCCAAAGAAGGGAGAGAAACAAGCAATGACGCCCGCCCCGCGGTTGTTGTTGTGGTAACCGGACACCTCAGGCTCCAATACGCCAGCACCGAGTTCAGATCTATATCTAAGAAACACCAGCCTTATGAGGGAGGAGGTACTTTGATAATCTTCGATTCTAGTGAGTTAAAGAACTAAGAAGCTCACAAAAACCTCCTTGCCATGGTATCTCTCTCATGAAACATTCCTGGTCACATCATAATCACAAACGGCCTTCAAAACCTGGCTACCACAAAGATAGGTAGCTGACTTCAACTTCCATCTCTGGCAAAGCTTGCGATAAGCGAATTAGATATAAAAGAAGATTAAGTAGAAGCCTGCCGACTACATGGGACCTGCAGCGACGTGCACTACCGGGATTTGGTACATCGGCCACATCACGCGGCTGCGCCGCCATTCAGCTTGTCGATACAGCTGCTGAGTAGATTGGCCGCCTCAGTCAGTAGCTCCCAGCGAGTGTTTGTGAACCCATTGCGGAGAACCATCAGCAACCCCATGCATTGATTGCATCCTTTCATCCCCTCAAGGTCACTGGGTTCGCGAACCCCGCCGACCCGCCGCAAGAACTGCTGCATGTTATGCCGCTGCTCTGCAGGTCTGACCAATTTGACGGGCTGATTGAGCGGGCCTTCAAGAGCGTACCCATAGCACCAGACCACGAGAGCGGCAACATAGAGGACCCATGGTCGATTGAGTAGGTAGTCATCCCGTCCCGAGTAGGCTTCGTCGTTATCGAGCACCCGCTCCTCGTCCAAAAGACACTCAGACAGAAACCTTAGAGCGTAGAATGTGGCGTCGCGGGCCGTGGCCTTAGTTGCCCATCGGTTCATTTTTTCACGCGCCCCGTCGTAGTCCTTTCGGGTGATGGCGCGCCCCATGAGCCGCCCAGCTCCGGCAAAAACCTGACAATCCACAATATCGACGTGGGAGGCCATATGTGCAAGCCCATGCAGGACATCGCGCGATTCAAATACATTGGCTTCGTCCCAAGGGTGTCGCGCTCGGTAACCACCGGTAAACGAACCTGGCTCCGACGTTCCCAAAGCCTCGTCGAAATCCCGTCGCCAGTTGTCGAAAGCCCGCAGTAAGGCGGACCTCCACTTATCGCGACCTCCCAACGCCTGTAGCACACCCAGCGAACTCACCTGGAGATCACGCTGGTTCATATGCCAGCTGACACTAAGCAAGCCTGCCATAAGAATGGTGCGTCCAAATGCATTGGTTCGAACAGGTTGGCCATTCAGCGTCCTTTTAAGACCATCCAAAAACATGAGAGGTTTGACTCCATTCGCATGTAAACTGGATTGCACTCGAGCCACCTCAGAGGCATTGGTCGCAGACCATAGCGCTCCATCGCACGGAAGAGGCAGCCGCAGCTCGTGGGCCACCATCTTGGCTGAATGCCCAAACATGGTCGCATGCGTAGAGTCTAACACAAAGGCTGCAAATGCTACCCGCCTTGTAGCTTCGGCTTTGATCCAGTGAGTCCATGACTCTTCCGCCACGAAATCGGGAGTCATGGTCGATCCGGTGGCTGAGCGACTTTGTCGATCGTCTCTAAGGCTCGCTGGAGAATCTAGTGCGGAGCGGCCGATCAACGAACTGCCACGCCGCATTAACGTAAGGGTAGTATCATGATGTATATGCGCTCGCTCATGCAGTGCACGGGTGGAGTACATCTTCTCGTACACTTCGAGGAGTAGTAGTGCCTGGAAGACCCACAGCTTGGCTGGAGGCCGAAAGTCGGCATCCATGAACAACTCCCAGCGTAAATGCCATGCAATAAAGTTCGCCAGCTCAGCTGCGGTCTCAGTGACGTCTGACCCATACATCTTGTCCAGTGTAGACGCTCCAATAGCTATGACAGCCAGGAGAAGCAGGTTTGGGGCTTTGTTCAAGACGAATGACGGGCGATGCAAAATGGGCAATTGAGGGTGGAAATGATGCCAGTACGAGGCGATATAGGCCTCCATCATGCGCGGTCCTAGGACATGGCGGTCGTCATTCATATCACCGTCCATCAAAGCGTCCTTCCGTTTTGCCACTGCTGAGTATGCTGCCTCATTAAAGCGTGAACCCATGAGCGCAAGAAGCTCCTGTCTCTTTTCATTTGATAGGCTCATTCGTGAAGACCCGGCGTCCAGGATACTAGTCACGCTCATCGGGTCGTGCGGAATTACTCCGTTCATGAAACTCCCATACCCTGGATCGCCTAGCAAGAACTGGTTCTGTAGCTGGATCGCATTGAGGTAATTCGGGATCATATTGGTTGCAGACGGGTAGCCCATCGAGGACGAGCTGGGAAGAGGGTCATTGAACAGCCACGCCGTGAAATCCTCGGGCATTGCGAAGGGAGACCGGTTGTGCGTCTCTCCGCCAAAGATCGGGTAGACACAGGAGGCCAGAGCGTCAAAACCAGGGTCTGCCACCGTTGGCCCCGGAGCCATCATGCCAGGAACAGTGTCCAGCGCATCAAAAGTACCCACGGTGTCCAGTGTCGCCGGCGCTGAAGTTGTTGCTGCTGGTGCCAAGGAGATACCCGCGTATCCATCCCCGGGCATCGGAGCATATGGCGCCGAATGTGCCAGCGGCTGTCCGTCCATATAGCTAGATAGCATTGTCGTTTCATTTACTGAATGACGTCCTCTATTCTGTTGACCTGTTTCGCCCGACTGTAGAGACATGCTAGTCGATGGATGACTCCGATGCGTATGGTAATCCGAGGGGCTGAAAGTACTGGCTGACTGGCCCGCCGGAGAGCTGGTGGTTCGGTTGCTTAGACTAATAGAGCGAGAAAAGGTGGGATCTGATAGCTCCTGTGAATTAAGTGGTTGGTATTTGTATGTCTGAGGAGAATGCCCTATCAGAGAGGGAACTGCAGTGGATTTAACGTCGATATTGGGGATGGTGATAGAATCTACCCGCCCCTCAACCGACGCCTGTGTTGACTTGTGTGTGGGAGAAGGTATTGGAACCCCAGTCGGGGATTCGCTGTGATTTTTCTTGAGCACGGGCGGCTTGATCTGCTCAGTTGATACAGTCGGTGCATTATTCACGGTGGCCTGCGCGAAACTGTCCCGCTTCTGCAGTTGAGACCCTTGCGTCGTATGTCGTTCACGATGGCGCAGGCACAGGTCCTGTCGGACAAAGGATCGGTAGCAATCGGGAAAATCACATCGATAGATCTGTTTTGGTGTATCTAGATCGATCGCCAGTCAGCTTACACTCCTTTGAGTAATTCTTAAAGGTGGGAAAACAAACGATTCAGCTGATGACGGTACAGGTGTTCTGCGCGTGAATAACTCTTCCCACAGCCATCAAAGGTACATTCAAATTTGCGATCCGTCTGAACTTTCCGAGTTCTCTTCCTCTTCCGCGAGGAGCCATCCAGCGTCGCATCTGCCGCATCGTTTTCGGTCGACATATGTGTTTCCTCACGGGAGCTTTGGAGTCCCTGTTCCGGGGGAGCTACTGCAGTGACAGCTGAAGTCATAATGCGCAAGGATATGGCAGTGAAAAGATGCGATCATTAGTGCCTTGTCGGTGGGCGGACATGACCCGCAAGAGCTCGAACTCAATTTCGGGGAATAGCGAGATCAGCCATAGGAAGCTAGAGTGAATGGAGAAGATTCCAAAGGAAGGGTGTGTGTTAATCGTGAGTGTTAGGTAGGTACTATCGTAGACTCGCGCGACCCCGTGGGGACCGAAATCTCGGCGGGCGGGACGGAGCAGCTTCAGGCAGGTGTCGGGGAGGTTTTCGATCTATCGGAAAGAATTTGAGGCTAGATATCCGAATATAAAAGCGGTATCAGGTATCTGTAGGGGCTGAAGCATGCGCAGCGCGCGCGAGGAAGGGGTTATCGTATGGCAGATTGTAGGCTGTTGGGGAAAGGTTAGGAATTGGAGACGGAAGAGGGGAAGACGGCCGGGGAGGTTCCGCAGAAACTCACAACTTAGCGCAGCCCCCGATTTCCACCAAGTGAGCGCAGTCTTTAAAATCCACAGCCGCGTAGGATAAAACGATAGTAGTAGTAGAGGTGGGAGTCCGGGGCCGATACACCTTAAAGATGAGCAATGAGGGGATCATAGATGGACCCTGAGACTCCCGGGTGGTTGGAGAGATCTTGTGCTGTTGCAAAGGTGGGGCAGATCCCGATCGGAGGGCGGAACGGATTCGATAGAGGGATAGGATGCTTTACACGCAACCTTAATCTTTATTGATAATACTCACATGTACCGTGCTGACAACCACGCCTGCACCGAACAGTCATGGAACTCGGCTAGAACGTTTGAGTGAATCGATCTTCGAAGACTTGTCGAAGGATCTCATAAAACTGCACCATGGAGGTTCGATACACGCGATATACCTACACTGTACATATACACATCGATCACAGCTCTATTGCTATTGCAACACCATGTGCTGCGAAAGCTACAACAGTACAGGAGACTCGGGAGCGAAAGAGTAAAGTTCAAGGCATAGGCCAAGAGCCAGCCCGTAGTACTGGCCGTAAGTGACGCAGTGAGCTTACATGTATACGCAAACATGGAGACCACTCCAGGTACTCAATGACGAGGTGTTCCAAAGATATATCAAATCCCTACTCAAGCATCCTTCTCATATTGATATGTCGAAAGCCAGATGAGCTTCCCTACCCTAGGTAACTACTAAATAGTCTTTGAGAAGAAAAAAGAATGGCAAAAGAAAGGTCGTGCCCGGGTTCGAACCGGGGTTATTGGAACTTGTTTGGTATCAAAATCCAAAGTGATAACCACTACACTACACAACCTGTTCTTGAGTTACGTACATGCTAGCTGATTTATATCCTTGTTGTGCATTGATGTCAAAGAAACTGTTTTCCGAAGATGGTCGCAGAGAGTCAATGATGGTATATTCCGACCTCACCGATCTCTTGAGTTTCAACTGGT